TTCTTTGCGTGTAATTAGAAGGTTCAACTATTTTTATTGATGAATTAATATATAATGCAAATAAAATTTCTGTAAACGTATATCTTTTTCTGTAGACCGATTTAAATATTAATAATGCAAAAGGCATTTTTAAGTATTTGAAAAGAAATAAAACAATTCTAACTAAATAATGGATAAATATGAAATTATTTTCATTTCAAAAGTTTCTTAATTTGCTGGATGACTATTTGAATAATTTATAAATATGAATCATCAGAAAATTATTGAAAATATAATTCATAATAATTGTATAGAGGTTGAAATAGAAATATTCTATTCCTCATTAAAATGAATCTTGTTGTTTTAATCCATTTGCGGAGATTATAAATTCATATTTGAAGTTTATACTTTTATCATAAATATTATCATATAAGATAACACTTATGCTAACACCGTACTTAATATGGGTAACATAATCTTACAGTTCTTTGTAATCAATTTATTTCACTATTTCTTTACTACTAAAAATATTACATAATACTTTTATAATTGACTATACAAGAAATTAAACAATTAAATTGTTAAACAAATCATATAAACATTAAATAGTATCTTTTTCAAGATATATCAATATTAACTAAATGCTTAAAAGAGAGTTGTAAGATTGATAACGCACATTTTAATAATAAATAATAGTTTTGTTCGCAATTATCTCATGTTTTAGATTAATGTGAATGAGATTGAAAATTGCTTTACATTCCGAGATACAAATGCTTATGCGGTCAAATTCAATGAAATTTTAAGTCTTTTTTAAGAAGTTTAAGTCTTTTTTAAATAAAATAATAATTTCACTATTAAGTTTTACATTTAAAAACTAATATTGAACAGTTTAGTTATTCATCAATCTATTAGGTGATTCAAACTTTCATATCATATGATTTTTGACATATGATATTTTGAGTTATGACCATGCATAAAAAAATTGTCAAAAAATTTAAACCAAAACATAATAATAGATATCTAATTGCTTTATGCAGCCGTAAATAGCAACGCTCGCTGCAAAATATACTAATTACAATTATTAATATTTTTAAAATAATTCTTTGAAGTACTAATTAAATATTTGCAAATATTAAATAAAATGAATTAATATAATTCGGTTTTTCATGAAACAATACATTATCTCAATCAATTATAATAATTTTTTCATAAAAAATTTACTATAGATTAAAATTATCTTATAGTTTACTTAATAAATATATTTGCCAAAGGTTGTCTTTATAATCACACATTATTAGCTTATGCGATTTAATGATTTAATTGTGAAACTAGAATTTCATAAATAAGATGAATTAAATATTTTTTTCAAGCAATAAAGTGCCAGTCATTAAAAAAAATTTATAAAAAATATATATTAATAATAATTATTTCAACTATTCTTATATCAATTGAGTTCATAGATTAATTATATTTATATATTTTTCTACTCTTAACGATAACTTTTAATTGAAGTTGTTATTTAAAATTGATCTAAAAAACTGTATTTTATATATATTTCCCATAATAATTTCGCAATTATAAGTATTCCCATGCGAAGTTACTCTTTACAAAAACATATATATTCCTGATATACATGCACATAAAATATATTTTAAAAAAGAACATTTTTTTTTATTTTATGCCTATTAATAGTTAAGTTAAAAATTAGAATAAAAAAAGTTAAATAAAAAAGTGCAAAGTCCAGAAAATTATTATTATAACAAGTATAGCAAACGAATGTTTAAGGGATGCAAACATCGTTCAATGTAGTGATCGATCCGCATTTAACGCGTGTCCTCATTTTTGACGTCAGGGGTCCTTTGCGTCACTGTAACGATATCCATGATACGAGTATCAAACTTTTTCTTAAGTTTTTTTGAAGTCAGTATGATCAAATATATTTAAATTATATTATGTATTTTATAAAGAAGGTTATTAACTCACGTTATTTCTAAATCTCAAAATAATAGCTATTAGATAAAAATCAAATATATACACATATATTATGTATATATTACATATAATAAGCTACTAAATTTAGTATATACATTCTAAATTTTACTGATTTCTTGTCATATAATATTTATTTATTGTCTTCTAAGTACAACAAGACTTATTAAAATATTACTTAAAACAATTGGTAAAATGTATACATATATATTTGTGTTGGAGTTAAAAATTTCAAAGTATCCAAAGTACTTAAATTCTGATTACCTACAAGATTCTTTACAAATCCAAGAATATAATATAACATGCTAAATTTCATATACCATTTTATTATAAGCAATAATTAAGTTATTATCTTAATTTATTAAGTTAATAACTTAAGTTATTATCATAATTCAAGTTCGTCAACTTATACACTATGAGATGTGCGTTAGTAACATGTATCAATGTACTTGATGTGATATTATCTCCACAAATAAATAAATAGATAAAAATAGAAAAATTGAAAATTAAATTATTTTTTACAAATATTATCAGAGTTATTAAATTATGTATAGTTAAAAATCTCTTACAAACTATATCTTAACTGTACCGAATTATAATAGTAATCTATGTAATGTTAATATGTTTTCTATTTGAATTCAGTATACCTTCCTTAAATTATAAAGCGATTCCATAATCTTATAATAAAATCAATTAAAATGACTTAAAATCAGAAAAAAAAAATTAATTTTCTATTTTATTAATTAATTATTATAAAGATTTGATTGTAATTTATCAGTAATCAAGTGCTTAAAGAGACACAAACCTACAAATTGATATATGCACAGACATTCTTAATACTACTCATAATTAGAAATCGATAAATAATAATTAAATTAAGAAAACTGTATATACTGACACTGATTCTTAAACATGTATAAATTGTTTGAAGTAGAATTTAATGAGTAATGATTTATTTTACATAATCGACAGAGAGATAGATATCTTAGACAAAATAGTATAATTAGATAGAATAAAAAAACATTTTATTAGATTTATAATATTTACTCACTCATGTAAATATTATCGGTCAAAGTATAATATATAGCAAATTATAGATAAAACTAATAGAATAATTTTAATAGAAAAAACTACTATATTTTAATAAGAATGTAAATGGATTAAATAAAATTAAAAAATATATATGTTATCAATTGATTCGTACATTTTAACGTAACTAAAAAATATATTATAAATAATAATAAGAGGTAATAGCTTTTCGAGATTTACATAAATATATGGCATAACTATAGTCTTCTTAATAAATCTTTTTCAATTGTAGTTCAACCAAATAAAATATGAGTAGAAAAAAGGAAGGGAAATAATATAAAATATAGACAGAATCACAATAAAAGAAAAATTAATATTACTCCTGAACAAAATTAGAACCTTAACCCACTCACTGCCATTGAGTAATATATCAAAACTGCGCTGTTGATATTGTCAATTGATATAGAACTTTAAGTAATATGATTCATCTAATATGATAAATTCTAGTATGATACATAATTAATCTAATATGACAAATTTAAAAGAAGAATGATAAAAGATTTTAAATTACATTTTACACAAATCTACTATATAAAAACGAAATTAATTCATAAGATTAAAAAATGATTAAAATAAATCGCAACACGAAATCCTAAGAAATCTTAAAATCCAATGAAAGAAATTGAATAATAAAAAATGTTGGCAAAGAAAATGAAAAAATATATATACTATCTAGTTACAACAAATTATATGTGCCTAATACATAATTAATTCAATCATCTATCATTCAATAATATAATAAATTGTTTTGCAAGAACATGTGGATTTTGCATAGGTTTATGGAATTAAGGAGATATAAAAAAAAAAACGAGTACTACTATAAGTCACTAAAAGATCGAAAACAATACATTTTAAAATTTTGTTTTCAAATCATAACAATTCAAAAAAGCTTAATAATTTTATATTATGGCATCTAACATATATTTTACATAACTTAAATAAATGAATTTTTAAATGTAAAATATTCATTGTAGCAAACGCAGAAAAATTACGACTTTAAAATACAGAATATGAAAATTATTTCTAATTATAGGTAGATATATGAATAATAAAAAATTCATATCTTTCATAATTTCAGTTAATTTGTTCGCCTGGAAACGTTTGAAAAAGTTAAAATGAAAACGAGATATTCATGAGTACTCAATATAATAAGAATAAAATACAACATTGAAACGAAAAAAATATAAAAATTCGTATATATGTACGTTATGTAGAATCCAATCACTCCAAAGAATGTTACCGTTTAATAGAACGACAAAATATATAACAGTCTTACGCTTAATCAAAGTGGATTTCATTAAATAGAAATGAACAATATCAAATCCTTAATATTAGAATTTCATAAATAAAATATCTATACATTTTGTAATTTTAATTTATTATAGAGTTTTAGAACTATAATTTATTGTTCGGCCTTTATAGTAAAATTATCATATTCTCAATCATTTGATTAGGATTAAAACGCCATTATGTTTTATCTCATTTTAGATCAGTCTTCATTATGCTTTTCATTATGTTATTAGTGTAAAATTGCAACTAAATAAATTTTTCTAATTTATATAAGATTTTTTTTTAATATTACTGTAAACTACAATTAGAAGTAAAATAAACTGTTATTTCAACTTTTAAAAAATAGGTCAACAAGGAAAGGAGTGTTGGATTAGTAAGGGCTTGTCATTATTAACATTATTCTACTGCAAAAAGATGATACTTCTTAGTCGGACATACTAATGTTATAATTAATAAATAAAAATCAATATACGAGTAATATCCGTCATCGTACAAAGGATGACGGTCATTTCTGTATATTTACTTATAAGATAATAAAGGTACATAAGTGACAAACGAGAGAGAAGAAATAGAAAATAAGACACAGATACTACTTGAAAAAATTAAAAATATAGAACATAAACAATGCATAAAAGATATTTATTTATACGTACCGGCTTAGATGCGTATTTAATTTCGTGTAATTGTCCGTCGTTTATTACTGTTTATTACATCGTTTCTTTCAAGGAAAAAGAATAAATTGCTGTATACACTGTTTACAGTTTATTTTTTCTGATTTATACTTTTTTATATTTAGTATTATTCGTTAACGGACTCTGTATGAGTATATTCGTAACAAGAAAACTATACTCCCGTGCTTTTCTCCCGTACATTCGCTTGTCATCTTGTTCGATTAATAAGCTTACTTACGAGATTAATATTGCTTTCAAAGTCATTCATGGAGTAGACAAGAACTCGTAGCATTTATCGTACTTGTAGATTGCAATCGCAGTTGCCGAAATAATAATAATCATATGTAACACATCATGCCATTTATACAATGGATGAAAATTCAACTCACTCGGTATAAAAACTTTCTACTTCGCAATAATATTACAAAATACCAAAAGATTAGATAAAAATTTCAATTTTCACATCTCATATAATTAATTATAATGTCATAATAATTAATTTTAATAAAAGAAGTAAAATTAATCAGTTCCTACATTATTAGGGGGCTTAAAATTTCTATAATTTATTATATATTGTTTAAAAGTTTATTTGCTAACTGCCTTATGACATTGTCTTTTTCCCCTTGTCGCTTATCTAATTAACCGTGCCTATATTATTTATAATCTATTCAATAATTTGAAGTCTAATTTCATTAATTTTGTATATATAAAACTTATTTATTGTTATTTAATTTAAAATTCATGGTAAATATAAACAAACATTTATCTTTTATATTTGTTAAAATTATTGATGGCATGCAGATCAAATTATTTGCATCATTTCCATTACAATTAATGTAGAATTATTAAATTTACAATATATGATTTATATAAAATATTGCTAAAATTTACTCAAAATTGTATTGGAAAATACAATTTAAAATATATATACGTTGAAATTTATAAATTAAAATCTGCATCTAACCAAATTACAAAAAAGATTTTTTATTTTTGTTTTGATTTTCTTGGCACATTATATGTGCACATTACCATAATAATTTTATGTAGTTGATAATAAAAGTTTTAACTTATAGGAATATTTATAAAAATTATAAAAAATGTTGTCATATCACTATTTTATTAGCGAAGATAATTATTCCTAAGTATTTTTAAGTATTATTATAATGTTCATAAGAAAAATATTCATGTACAGTCGAAGTTACTTATATCAATTACTTTGATAAGATTAATAATAACTTAATTTTTATTAATTTAAATATCTCTATCTAATAATAAATATTTTTGCTGTTATGATACAACAATATTAATCTATTTTAGTAACATGTTTTATTATCAAATTTTAACTATACATTTTGTTCGATATTTTTAAAGATGTTTTACATTCATCACCATATTTATTAAAATTTAATTCAGATATATTAATTAGTTGAGGCTATTTTAAATTAATATTTAAAATTTATTTTATTGCAATAAAGTGATACTTGGTCTCCTTATATATAGTGAAAATCATTATCAATAGATCAATATTACTTGAGCTACTTCATTAATATAAACAATGTTTATAAAAAATAAAATGGTATTTATCAAATATAATTGAATGTACGTTGAATAAGATAGCTAAATGACAACATGATGGATTTACATAATGGTATATTGATGCAACTACAATCCTTATCTAAAGTTCTTCTAAATTCTTAAATTATGTAATTCTAATATTCAATCTGAGATTAAACTTTTTTATTTCTTTTGAAAAGTAAATCAATTATTTCACAAGCTACTTTGTATATAGCTAAAACAAATTTCAACTCTTTAAGGTTCTAATTGTAGAATATACTATTTTAAGCAGTACCGTATATTGAATTCACCAATATAAAATAAATTGCCTTAACAACAAATTACAAATCTTATATGAATGTATCCATCCATTAGAAAGACTTCGATTGCGGATTAGTAACTACTACCTAGATAAGGTTCGCTCGAATCGAGCATATAAACGATCAAAATTCAAACACGAGTGTAGCGACGTCTACCGACTGTTCGAAAAACGTCCAACTGCCATTAGAAATTTTTAAGGTAAGCGCGCGCGCAACCATATTCTCGTTCATTGTGAAAACGCGACAGCCGTAACTGCATTATGGTTGTGAGGGATAAGAGTAAAAATTTAAGACAGGTTGAAGAGGGAGTGAGCTGGGTTGAGAGTTGGGTCTTGGAGAGAGGGAAAAAGAAAAAATCCACGGCGTGGCTTCACCTTCGCCGTGGGTGGCCGGTGTCGAGTCCCGAGTGAGTGCGTGTGGTCCTAGCCCCTTATACTTATTGCGGGGGGATGCGGCGTCGCCAACGACGCCAACACTTATACTATCTCGCAGGACGCGAGACGCCTTGCCCTCCAAGGAAGAAAAAGAAGTATTTTAACAAGACGTAGGAAACAGAGGAGTACTCGAGCTCATGATTACCAAAAAAGGTTTATCTTTTGTTATTATGTCGCTTATGTTATTTTATTTAATGTTAAATTTGTGCAATGTCAAAAAAAAACACGTGTATCATTGTTTTGGCAAAATGCTTTGGAAAAGGAAACGAACAAAATGAATGACTTTCATAAGCATTTATATTTAAAAGATTTAAGCAGAGTTTTCAATGCTCATCCTTTCTGGTAGATTGTAATATTTAAAACGTTAAATAATAGTTAATTCGAAAAATCATTGGACCTACACCATCTCTGTTCTAGAAAAACAAATTTTTTCTAATTATATAATTTGATAGTATGCTTGTGTTTGATAGGTAGTTTATTAAATTATTGAAAATAATAAACAAATTTGAATTCATGTATGATTATTAAAGTATAGTAAAAAAAAAAATCTATTTTATAATACTATGAAATTAAATATTATTTATAAATTTGTATTGTCTTAGTATTAAATTTTATTATTTTAGATGATACTATTGATACATTTGGCTGCTCTCTTATCCTCTGCAAAATTAGAATTAGATCGAAGCTATACAGTAAATGGTAACAACGATAACAAAACATGGAATGACTTAGGTCGTCATAGGATTAAGGATTCAAGTTATCTATTAGATAGATATCCGCTTGGAGAATTGCCGACAGATTATGTACATTGTAAAAGGTCTGCAAAATGCGTAAGGATGAACAGTGTTGCGTGCATGGGAACAAGACTACCTTACGAAACAACAACGCTAGATTTAATTCCAGAACACACGAGTCAAGCTATGATAAGGGTAAGTAATATATATTATGAGCATTTTTAAAGAATAAATCACGTAATATAAATATAAATATAGTTGTATTACATGAAATTATTTTATGTTATTAATAATACATATAAATAAATTGATATTTCTTTATTATAAGTCTTATTCAGGCAATAATATAAAATAAAAACGTAATTAATTGTCATAATATTTTTCAGGAAAAGCTACAAATGTTACAAAGCCTAAAACATATTCCTAAATGTTGGGCTGTAGTACAACCATTTTTATGCTCTCTTTTTCTGCCAAAATGTGTCAATGATACAGTCGATCTACCTTCTCAAGAAATGTGTAAAATGGTATCTGGGCCTTGCAGAATTCTATTTAATCATACAATATGGCCGAATTTTATTAAATGTGAAGATACTAAATTATTTCCTCGACTGTGTAAAAACGATGTTCGCGAATTAAAATTTAATACAACTTGGAAGTGCCTTTATCCGTTAGTGCCGACTGATAATGCTCTTGCTATTTTTGAAGGAGTAGATGGTTGTGGAATTCCATGTAGTGATCCCCTTTATACACATGATGAACAAAAGCAAATTCATTCATTTATTTTTTGGGCAGCTGGTATTTGTTGTTTGTTCAACCTGTTCACTGTGGTAAATATATATTGTTTATTTTAAAATGTAATTTTAGTTTCCAGAATTTAGTTCTTGATTCATTATTATATAAATATAAAAATAAATAAATAAACATTTTAGATAACATTTTTAATTGATTGGAGAAGTGCAAATAAATATCCTGCATTAGTTATATTTTATATAAATTGTTGCTTTATGGTTTCTTGTATTGGATGGCTTGCACAATTCACACCAGGAAGTAGAGATGTCATTGTGTGTAGAAAAGATGGTACTTTAAGAATGAGTGAACCTAGGTATTTATAATAAAAATATACATTTTTTAATTTGAAATTAATAAAAAAATTTTAATTTTTAAATAATTGCAGTGGTGAAAACCTTTCATGTGTGGTAATATTTGTTTTGGTATATTATTCATTAATGGCAGCAATGGTTTGGTTTGTAATATTAACTTATACATGGCATATGAGCTTCCAAGCACTTGGCAAAATTCAAGATAGAATTGATAAAAAAGGTGCTTATTTTCACCTGCTCGCATGGTGTTTGCCACTTATGTTAACAGTAACAATAATGGCATTGGGCGAAATAGATGGAAATAATGTAACAGGAATATGTTTTGTGGGTTACAATAATCATGTTGTTAGAGCTTGGTTTGTACTTGGACCTGTTTTAACTGTTTTATTGATTGGAGGATACTTTTTATCTAGAGGTATAAATAATAATAAAAATTTTATAATTTTAATTGTTCAATAAATATGACTAAAATGAATGCATCGTTCATTATTTTAATTATTTATCCAAGTAAATTGTTATAGGTTTAATAACATTAATTTGTTTAAAAATAAGCAGCCAAGAAATTATATCAGAAAGAGCAAGCTCTAAGATTCGAGAAACTATAGTAAGAATGGGATTGTTTTCAGTATTTACATTTGTTGCTGTAATTGTAACATTTTATTGTCACTTGCACGACTTTGAACACTCTTCAGAATGGAAACAAAGCTTTAGGGATTATATGATGTAATACATTTTTTTACATTAAGTTTCATACTTTTAAAAACTAAAAATATGTTATACTATTATTTTACAGTTGTTCTATAACATCTAAGTATGCAGATGTATCAGAATGTAAAATGAAATCTAGACCCAGTGCTGCCAAGCTACAGTTACATTTATTAGCTTCATTCTTTGCTGGTATTTTAATGTCATCTTGGGTGTGGACAGGTTCAACAGTTGATACTTGGATAAGATTTCTCAGAAGGTACATACAAATTTTATACAATTACAGTATTATAAGTAAATAGAAATATGTTTTTCCAATTTTTAGGACATGTAATCGTGAAACTGAGGAACCAGTCAAGTTAAAGAAACATAAAGTGATAGCTCAAGCATTTGCAAAAAGAAAAATGTTTAATAATGCAGGACGTTTATCAATTAGCTTTCACAATACTCATGAAGATCCAGTTGGCTTAAATTTTGATCTTAATTCTGTAGCTTCTCAAGATTTTAGTTCAACATGGGCAGCAGCTTTACCGAAATTAGTAACAAGAAGAGGTGCATTAGTTGGTGGATCTGTATCAAGTAATCGTAGAAATTCAACTGATTCTCAGTACAGTTTTAGTTTACGTCGCGTATCTGTAGAATCTAGAAGAAATTCTTGTGATTCTCAAATTGCTTTATCTATTAGTGAAATAAAAGCCGAGCTAAAAACTAGCAGAGTTAATAAAAATAATAATAAAAGAAGGAAAAAGCTTCCGGAAAGAACAAGAAAAAGATCTGAAGCGTATAAAAGAGGAAGAAAAGATTATGAAAAATCTAAATCAGTTAAAATTATACCATCCATTCGAAGAGGCAGTACAACTTCACAAGAGAGTCAATTAGGTGTTCAAATTTTATCTGCTCTGTCATTTGGAACTGGTTCAAATACCGTACCATTGCAAGTACCAAACATGAAAAGACGTGCAGGCTTAGACGAAGGAACATTAGCTCTTAAGGATGCTGAAAGATTGTTACCATTTTTATTTCCAAGGCAAAGTGATAGTGATGAAAATTTAAGTAGCGAAGAAAAACAAAATGATATCATCCATAAAGATATTGACTTGGACGATAGAAATGAGATGAAACATAATCAAGACAGCGATAATGAAGATAGTCAAATTGAAGAAAGCACAAAGATGTTAGAATTCGAGGAAATTTGTGATAGAAGTAAAAGCAAAAGCAATAAGAGCTCTAAAAGTTTTAATCGTAATAATGATAAACGAATTAGCACAGAATGTCAAACAAAATATTTGATTGAAGATGAAACAGTTTTGAAACATCTTTTTCACGAGTCAAATGATATAAAAACAAAAGACGATCTTGAAGGAAAAGATAGAAAATCAACTAAAAGTGACCTGGAATCCAGTTTATCATCTTATTGCCCAGAGTTCTCGAGATTAATACAGCTTGATGGGCAATCTAATGCTAGAGAAATTGCTACTCAAACTCTTCCACTTGAAATATTGGAAATGGAAGCATTAAAACAAAGTATTGATGAAATCATTAATAGTCGTAATTGTAGTTCAAAAGGAACGCAAATTTCACCACAAATGACAAAAAGCAAAAAACAACCAAAGTAAAATGAGAAAATTGTTTTTCTCAAATAATGCTCTCTATTAAATTTTTGAAACAAGTCATACATTTTATACATTTTATAATATTAAAACTATATATTTGCATATAAAACTTAATTTTATAAGAATTATGCATTTACTTGAATTATTGTATTTTATATAGAAATTATACAATTCTATCTCAAGTATATATGTGCCTTAAATAAGTGTTTAATATCTCTTATGAAATTTTCATATATGAAATTTCAAATTAAACGATTGTTTTTGTATGAGATATTAAAGGTTCACTAATAAAATGTACAGTTAAGATATTTATTTTTGTTTTTGTTGACCACTATATTTTAAGATTAAAATTTGTTTTACACATTTCATTATTACAATTGATTTATCCAATATTGCTAAGAAGTAATAAGAATGTTTTCATATTGTAATTGTGTGTTGCAAAATGACTAAGCATTGTACTTACATTTCTCATCTTTAAATGTGAATTGATATATCGAAAATTTATTAAGTCTAAATGCAAGGGTTCTTAAAATCAATTTAAAAACTATTTTAGCATAAAACTACTATTATTAGCACTACTATCAGCATAGAATATTTATAGTAAACTGTCTATTTTTTCAACCAAAAATTTTATGAACACAAATGGATACTTTTGTATAGAAACCAATTAATTATATATATATATATTTCATGATTATTAAAAGTATTGTTTTTTTTTAATGTTATAAGTTATTACGAGTTCTATAAGTATTATAAGAGAATTATAAATATTGACATAAAAAAATCCCATGCAAGAAGTATAATTAGCAAATGTTATTTTTACCGTATTCTATTCTAAAAACTCAATAAATTTTTAATAATTCATTTATTACATTTATTTATATATATATATATATATATTTTTTTTTTGTATTATATTTTTATATATTCATTTTTAATATGTGATTATAATGATCATTAAGATACAAATAACTCACAATTAAATATATCTAGGGTGAATTTTTTGGTAATAAAATTTTTAAAAAATTAATTTTTTCTGTCTAAAAATGTTTTTTATTAATTAAAAATATATTACATGATAGCAAAATGATTAAAATATATAAACTAAAAAGATAGATAATATTTATATATATTTAATCATTAATATATTCATTAAATTTTTGCCGTGATGACAGTAATAATAGAACAATTCTATTAATGTATATAATAATTTAAATGAAAAACTTTAAAATGATACGAATTCGAAATCATATGAAGGTGTCGCCATAATAGTGTGTTATAAAAATGCTACTGTACAGATCGTGTATACATATCTACTCAACTACTCACATTTCATTTTTAATTAGTTAATTTAAACTTGAATTTGAGTGAAAAAATATTGTGATAATTTCTAATTAATATTAGATGAGTTTTCTTACTTCCTGTGTTGTATTCCCGTAACGATTTTCGTAACCTAATTATCTTGGAATTAATCATTTGACAGCTGTTCTCAACGGCAAACGTAATAAAAAATTTAATTTGTTTATATTTTCCAATATAACAATCGATTTTATATTTTTATTCTTATCATTGGTGTTAATTATTTGCTTCTTGTGTGTAAGCACAAAATTGCATTTGTTGACCTACAAATAAAAAATAAAACCTATAAAGAATGACAATGGGCGATGAGACTCCAGTTACATCACTTGTTCTTCCAGTAATATTACGTCCAATTTTGGCAAAAGTAAGTTTCGATATTAATTGTATAGTTTATTCAAAATAATAATTTATAAATGATTTTTATATGGGCAATTTTCAAATTACCGTCTAAATTATTTTAAGAAAAAAGTTTAAAAAATGTAAGAATAATGTACTTTTCAATATAAAATTAGAATTGAAAACAATTTTTTCTTTCAGTTGGAAAGGCAAAATTTGGTAGCTGCTCAAATGCTTCGTAAAGCATTATCCAATGCAGAACTTAATCATCCAGGAATTACCTACGATTTAATACTAGGTCTTGTGCGTCGTGCAGATCTTAATTTAGATATGAATGAAAGTGTGCTTCGGTTACAGGGTGTTGCGTCTGACTGTGATGGTATATGTTTTATACTGATCTATATTTAACAAAGCATTTATTGTATAATATAATAATTGTATTTAATATTAATAGTCGTAGAATATCGTTCTGTACGTTCAGAAAATGCATTTCCAGAGCTTAATAGAAAATCTACTTCACTGAAAAGGATATTAAGTAGAATTCCAGATGAAATAACTGATCGTAAAACGTTTCTTGAAACAATTAAGTATAATTAATTTATATTACATTTCTTTATTATTAATTTTGAATTCAAGAATTATAGAAATTAAATATAAAAATATTTTCAGGGAAATTGCCAGTGCTATTAAAAAATTATTAGATGCTGTTAATGAAGTTACAGGATATATACCAGAATCTGCAGGTAAACAGGCTCTAGATCAACGTAAACGAGAATTTGTGAAATACAGTAAACGATTTAGTAATACATTAAAAGAATATTTTAAAGAGGGACAGTAAGTTTTACTTATTCACATTATTTTGCTATCGTTCATGTATTTTTATCTATATATATATTTGCTTAATTTTTTTTAGAGCTAATGCAGTATTTATCAGTGCTTTATATTTAATTCTTCAAACAAACATGATTATGCTTACTGTAGAGGATAAAGTATTATAATCAATATAAGAGTGAAGTAATAAAGAATAAATATAATTATTATAGGAATAAAGTATTAAAAACATTAAATTGTAAATTAGAGATGTGCAATTTTATTAACAAATGACATTTTTACATATAATGTATGCTTAAAGATACTAAAATTGATATTTTCATTCTTTGATTTGTAAAAATTATTTCACGTTTTATGCGAAAGAAATAAATGAAACCTGTACAATTTTCATTTAATACGAGGAAATAAAAGTTATTTTATTTATAACAACTTTATAAAATGTACTGTAGTTCCATATTAAAAAATGTTGACTTAGCTATCTACACCCTTTATGTTACCAATGACACATATTAGTAACTAAAGAAAGATCAGTTAGACAATAATAAACATTTATTGTTCAAGCTCGTTTACTGTCAGCAAATACTCTAACAATACTTCCAACTCCACTGACATTGTAGAGTTTTTCATGCCACACAAGCAAGTGTCCACTACTGCCTTCATTTGGTATTTCAAAACCTCTGTAAATATATTTCATTAAAACATCCATCAAGTGACGATCCAATTGGGCTATGCAATCATCCATTTGATTAGTTTTTATACTAAGAAGTACTTTTTGAATCAAATTTCGTGCATTTTCCTGTAAACAATAAATCATTGTAAACTTATTTATATAAACGATAAATAAGTTTTATATTAAAAGATTTATAAATATTTTCGTTGATCATGACTTCATTATAATAGAATTTCTGTGTAAATAGCATTGCTTAACTTAATTAATCAAATATTTTAACAAAATATTTAATCAAAGGAAAATGGTTCTTTTCTATTTTGTATATTAGGGATTGTATAAAAATTTATTAATCGTATGGTATAAAGCTAGACTAACATTTTTTAAAAATTCAACTCATTAATTGAAACAAAAAACTCATTTATATTTTAGATAATTTTTAACAAATTAGAATGTTAAAACAATAACATAGCCTATAAATGATTAAGCTATTTGAGGTTACCTTAACCTGATGATTTTTGCAATCTAATGGTGCTGATTTTAAAACAGAAATTAAAGCCTCAGCTTGTTTGCCCTTATTAAATAGTTAAAGAAAATATTATTTAGAATAATGAAGTTGGCTGAAAAAATTAATTAAACACAAATTTCCAAAAGGATATTGACTAAGTAGTAAGAGAATTTCATTTTCATCCGATCCAGTTGGCCCCGTCGTACCACCATCTGGATCATCTTCCTTAAAATTGTTATCGCTATACAAATCAACATTAATATTTCGAAAAGCTGTCGCCGACGGATCCTTATCGTCGGACTTTGACATTTTTTAATCACAAAAATTTTAATTTTTTTTACTACAATCACTCTGAAGTTTAACTTGATGTTTAGATTTTCTATAGGCAGTATAGATGTGCTTTTTTAAGGCATGCGCAGTTGATATTAAATTGATCGGTCTTCATGGAGGTACTCAATTGCTATGACCTTAAATATATTTATATGGGTAGGTAAAATTTTCGTAATTCCTATTTAGATTCGGCATTTGATGAAATAATATTGTGACAAAAACTGTTGTATTCGTTTTAAATTTATAAGGACATAGAATATTCCAATTATCATATAATTAGTTAATAGTAAAAATATTAGTAAAATTGGCATTTTAATAATTGATAAGCAAAAAAAAGGAATAAAATAAAAATATTATGATATATATATATATATATATATATATAACTTTTAATTTAATTTAACTTTATTTTAACAAAGTAAAATGAAAGAAAAATTAAAAAATACATTGCAAAATACCTATTAGAATATATAATTTTATACAATAAATACATTATTTTCAATTTGCTATTGTTTCTAAATGAAATAAAATCATATACTATCTGTGCCTATTGAAGTTAAAATTAAATTGAAATTACCCGCATTTAAAAGAGCCAATACGCTTAGTCTTCATTCGTATCGCTCAAAAGATGTATTAAAAATTCCTTATTATAGTTTTAGAATCTTAAGTCGTCACCATAAAAACATAATGATAAATCGACGTTACATCAACGTCACAATCCCAAAATACGCAACACGAGTGTTATTATTATATAGACAGCAAATGTATAAATTATTATTCATATTGAGTTTATCGTTGTTACGATCATTCAAAATTTTATTATATGAGATTAGTCTTATTAAAAATCAAGTTTTATTAATTTATATCTTAATATACACAATGCAGGATAGACTAAAAAATGATCAAATAAATTTGAAAGAAAAGAATAACCAAATCAATTTTAAAATTTAAGAAAACTGATTTTTATTAAAAATTATAATTGTAAAAATTGTAATTTCATTTATAGGACTAATTTATATTATTGAATTAGTATTAATAGTGTAATAATGAATACTATATAGATCAATTTATCGTTTAATTTTAAAAATTTATTAATCTAAAATATTTACTATTCTGTAATATAATAAAACAGAAACTGTAATATCAAATACATTTAATAAATAGTTATTAATATTTCATTTTATAAATTGACATAAAAAATAAAACTATGAACAATTTGCTAAAACTTTTTATGTTATATACTTGAAAGATATTTTACTTCAAAATGTATTGCTACAATTAATGTTTTTTAATATTTATCAATGATAATTAATAATGTAAGGTACATTTTAATTTAAATTGTGAAAATAATAATTTACTAATATTTTTTATAAAACAATAGATTAGTCATATTTGTAATAAGAATCAACATATTCCTAATATCAAGAAAATTTCAATGCTCTTAGTGTGCAATCATTATATAGGAAAGATAAATTAATCCTTTAAATAAATACTTATATTTCATATATTATTTATACTACGTAAAAAATATGTAAAAATAAAATTTATAAATTAGAAATAAATTCTATATATATAGAGTGAAGAAGGGGGATACATATTTTTAATTGTACTTATAAATCAAAGCGGGTTTTATGTATACGGGTTCTATCTACATTCATGTACAATATTAATAATTTAAACATTCTTATTAGAAACAAAAATAGGCGTATCTTATTCACATTAGTTACAATTATAGATTTTTGTTTTTTCTTATCTTAATTGGTCTCTTTGGTTCTAACTATTTCTGCTTAAAGCAGCTAGAAATCAAACGTTCGCACAATTGTACGTAGATATTAAGATCTTTTTTAACACAATGTCGATAGTATTTGGACATTGATCTAAACAAAACTACATTTTCTTCAGGCAATTTTTATTAATAATGTTAAATGTAATTACTTATTATTTCCTTCATTGACCTACTTTAAAATGTACATATATCTTGAAACCTGCCAATATTTTCTTTTATATTAATGACAAATTATAAGAAGTTTCTATAGTTCAATCTAATGAAATATAAATTAGTAAATAAAAATTTTTCTACATTTTATTATGTTCGTATTTTTCATTATTTCAATATCGTATGAGTTGGAAATGTACGTGTTTTAATATATTAGCATATTATTTTCCTATTCTTCATTCCTTTTTTTACCTTTTCTTTATACTTTTATTTGATAGAAATCACTTTTCATTGACAGATTTTATTAAAAATGTAACTTTATGTAACTTTATAGTCGTAATATATTTATATGTAATTATAATGAATAAATTAAAATAATTATTCATCATATGTACTATAAATAGAAATTTTAATTTTTAATGTGCTGACCAATAGAAGAAAAATAAAATATAATGGATTTAACCCACTTTTTACGTATAATTGAATAATTAAATAATACAAATTTTCAATACATAATGTTTTATACATTTTAATTCATTGAATTATATAAATAATTTTTTTTAATGTAAATATATCTACTGATAGGAATCATATTATATATTATAATACATTTATTATAAGTGTTTATTTATGTAATTTACAAATTTTTAATATATATTTATATACCACGTTTATTAACTAATTCTTAATTTCTGAATTAATAATGAGCGCAAAAGTATTTTATTATTAGTTTTGTTATTGTTCTTTTTATTGTCGTCTTGTTGTCATTCGTAATATTATTAATTTTAACATTAATATTGATGAGAGTTGGAAAGTGTCGAAACCTGGCAATAATAAGATAGACGAATGTGTCTCAAGTAGTGTCAAATAAAGTAAAAAGAGAAAACCATTATGAAGCTGTTCTGAAATGAAAGATGAACTTAAAATTTGATTATTTGCGATGAAATTGCTACGGACTTGGAATTAACGAATAAATTTGTTCGTCTATTATATCAATTTAAAATCAATTAAAAAATAAATTTTTCAATTTTATGGTAATTAATCTGTTATATTATTAAAAATATTTTATTTCTCCATTCTATTAAGACATTATATTACTTCTCTACTGTTCAGAATTATATTACGCACAATTAATAGAGGCGGTAAGACATTCAGTGTATTTATAGTTATTCTCTGTTGTTTAGTTCAATTTGTATGTTAAAAATAGATTTATTTAATTTAAAAGTAAAAAATGTAATATTATAAAATATAAATATTATTTTACGATTAATGCTATAAATTTAATTTAAATTATAAAAATATTTTTGTAATATAAATAGATAACTATGATAAATTAAAGTCTATAATTTTTACAATTTATTTTCACTTGGAAAAGCTAAGAAAAATAGACATTTATGCAAATAACCAATTATTATAATATTTTTTGCAAATAAAATAATAGTTTTAAGTTAATAATAGTCTTTAGTTAAGTTATTGCTTAGTACGCTTTTTTAAGTATATTAAAAATACGTTAAATTTTATAAAATTATGTATAAAATATATCAATTAAGTGATGGTATTTAATAAATAATTTCTGATAATTACGTAAAAATTAGACTTATATTTTCTTTTTAATAGTATGTGAGCAAATACATTTGGCTTATGCTTGTATTGCACTTTTTGATTTAGGCAGTTAATACGTTATTAATAAAATTTTAAGTTTAGAACATAGCTATTGTTCTGTTTAATTAAGCATATTATCAATGTTGGGATGAAATATTTTTTGAAAAGTTGTATTTCACATAATTTAAAAAAATAATTTAATTTTATTAATTAATTTATAAAACATATATTACAAGTGATAGCTTTTAATAAAGAACTTCCAATGATTACGTGAAAATTTCACGTTTTATATTTTCTTTTTAATTCTATATGTACAATGCATTTGGCTTAGGGCTGTATTTAACTTCTTTACCATGTTTGTGTTGACGGAATCGACCTAACCTTGCTGACAACGTGACTAATAGGAGCAACTATCTATATTTTACTGTACGTTATTGGTACCACTGATTAAAAAAGAGCGATGTTCGGAAAAAAGAAAGAAATAAATATGGCGTAGAGTGATTATTACACATGTGTCAGTGATCCTCGGTGAAATCCTTTTCAACTAATAAATTTCATCGCTATCGGCTTCGTGCTTCCAATAAAACGTATATTTATATAACTTATCATATTTTTAACTTAAAGGCAGCCGGCGATAATATGTGACACATTATCAAAGCATCGTGAATTAACCAGCAACGTCGTCGTCGTCGTCTTCGCCGTCGTCGTCGTCGCCGTCGTCGTCGTCGTCGTCGTCGTCGTCGTCGTCGTCGTCGTCGTCGTCGTCGTCGTCGTCGTCGTCGTCGTCGTCGCCGTCGTCGTCGTCGTCGTCGTCGCCGTCGCCGTCGTCGTTGTATCGTACTTTTTCTTACGATTACCATCAATTTGCTATCAGCGTGAGTTCTCTAAATCGTTTGCTATATGCGAAAACAAGAATAAGAGAGATAGAAAGAATCTAGAAATACCTCATGCATGTGAACGTGATTCAAGGTGCGTTTATCCTATCACAGCGCAACATTTTTTCTTTACTGGGTTTTTCACATATTTCTCTATCTCTCTATCTCACTCAGTTATTTTACATCGCTCATTCTCCCTCTTTTCACTTCTGTAATATTGGTCTAAACTCGACTATGATGGACGAGAATGGAAAAGAGCTTTCTCGAGTTTCACTTCGCGCGTACACATACACACACAAATACTCACGGTCGCACGCCTTCGGTTAATCGTACACGTTTTTAACCCAAAGCTGCACACCCATGAATTTTTACTTTACCCATCTCAAGTTACAAACGAATTTTACCAGATCTATTGGAAAAAGTTGTTGACTGTGTCCCTTTTACATTGATCATTGAAAAACTGTGTAAATGAAAAGTGTGGCAATATTGAAAACCTTTTTATTTACTATGAATTGTTAAAAGTGAATAAAATGGATTATTTATAGATGCTTAGATTTATTTGATATATATTTAAAAAAAAAAAACAAAAAATATAAATAAATAGTTTTTCGCCAATATTGAATAAATTTTGTCCCATTTTATTTTCTCATATTGAATTGATATATATAATTAATTATACAAATAATATAAAGTGAAAATTTTAATTATAAAAAAAGAAAATAAAAATTTAATAAGATGTCTTGTAAGCGATAACAATTTTTTATTTATATTTAATAAGAAGTATATTATTATTTAATTTGTATTAATTTAGTACCAAGAAAAGAATCAAATGTCTTCTGATATGCAGTCCTTGTATTATTATTTGTATAATAAAAAAGTTAACCCTTGCAAATGAATATTTAAACAATGAAAATAATTCATTTAACTTATGTATTCAATTATGCAATAGAGAATATCAATGTGAAGGGGAGATCATTTTATTGGTCACAACGTTATTCTGAGTAATAAATAATTATTTTGTGTTTATTTCCTTATAGTTTTATTTTCTTTAAATTATTATTTTTAAACTTATTTCACTTTTACAACAATTAACAGTACTAATATATAGTTTCTTTTTGTTTGTTTAGCAAAATATCATCTTTTTTTAGATAATATATTTTTCAAGATTTTGATTCAAGAGAGAACCTGAATTGTACAAAAACAGCCATGTAAGAATATAGAACATATTTTAAATATTTATTTATTAGAATTAAATGTGTTTTTCATAAAAGTGTTTAATTGTTTAGTAATATATAAATTTAGATTTTTAATATTCAATAGAATAATTATAATTATAAATAATCAAATAATTTAACTGTATAAATATATTCAAAATTTAGTAAAAAATATATCATTGAATATTTCATAATTATCAGCAATACGTTTATTCTTATATTTAACAATAGAATAAATATTTGTTTTATAATAATATATTCGACTGTTATTTATGCCAAAGTTTATTGTATAATGAATATTTTATGAAATAAAACAATTGGAAAATTTAAACAAATTACATTAAATATACATACTAAAATCCGATATATCACTGTAAAATAATAATGTATGGACATAATGTAGAAATAAATTTATAAAATAATAACTATTTTATAAACTTTATTATCAAATGGTAAATTAGGGATAATCTTCTTAATTAGAATTTGAGAAAGAAGGAAGAGATGATTGTGGCTCAGAGAGCCACTTTTCAAGTCTTGGTTTAGACTTTCTAAATATAACCACAGGCTTCACAGGCTTTTCGTATAGTATCATACCATATTGAAGAGCATCCTACTTTATTGCACAAATTCCTCATTTATTTCTTTTAATATATCAACAAAATAATTTACTAATATATTTGCAAGAAATTAATTATTCATTGAAATTCTATAAAATTAATTGAATTACAGTTAAAATAATTAGTATTTAATTAATTATTTGTCCATTAATTAATAATGTGATTAAAATTAAGAATTAATAAGTTATGTATAAATTAAAAAATTTCGTATATTTATGAATTTGTTTTAATATTTTACATAAATAATCAATTTATACAAATTGTTTTATATAGTTATCTTATTTTGAAAGTAAATTTATTCAATGCTATAACAACAATTGAAACTCCATTAGATGATAATATTAACAAATATTTATATTTGTATTAATATAGAAATTGTTAAGATTTAAAGTAAGCGTATCTTATATAAAGTTTAAACATCAGAAGGAAAAGAAATATTTTAATAAGTATTAATAGTTAAAATAAATTAATTTTAATTTATTTTAAATTTTCGGAACTGCAAGTTTTGTTTTAATTGTAATATTTTTTTATATTTTTCAGAAAATGGTGCATAAATATGTTTCTGTGAAATTTGAATATGAATGTCCAGAAAACATTCGTGAAAATTCTATAAACAACTCGAAATTCATATTTAAAGATACAGAATCACTAAGGTCCAACATTAATGATCAGATTCATTCATTTTGTAAAAGTAAACATTATGAGATTGATCGTTGTATATTGAAATATTTAAATTCTGAAGTTAGTATAATTATATTTTTTCCTCAAATCTTTATCTAATCTAATGCCTAGGCTATGTTTAATCTATTGTTTTTTTTATTACTTATTTATGTTTATCTATGTAATATTCATATTTTGATATCAATGAATGAAAGTTTATATTTAGCAATTATTTTTTGAAGATTTTAATATTTTATATATTAAACTTTTTAGATAGATCTTTTATATAGATTAAAAAAAAAACATAGTATTTAAAAAATTTTAATTTCTATAAATTGGTTTTCTAATTTTTACAATTATTATAGATCGCAAGTTAATTCTTATAGGCATTTTTACAATTTCTTTTTAAGTTTTTAATATTTAATATTATATCTATGAATATTTAATATATGCAAGGCTTTTATTTATTTGTAATTATTAATAAATAAATTTGACATGTAACTTTGAAAGGAATTAATAGTTCCATACACATTTAATAAATTAATACAAAATGAAGAATTATTTTTTTAACAGACTGATATCACAAAAGTGATAACTGGATCTGATTTATTTGGCAAAATATTTGAGAGCATACTAGAATTACATACAGGAAGTATATCACTAGAAATATTAAGTGTTTGTAAAGTTAAAGAAGTCCAATCTTCTGAAGATGAATCGTCAGCCAGTCCAGTATCTGATAATGAATGTAATACTATGCATTCTTTTAGTGCAACTAAAGATGTTTATAGTAACTGCATAATATCAACAGCAAACCAAGAATGTATTGATAATAAGAATTCAGATAGTTCAGATAATTTCGAGAATTCAAGAAGCGTTGAAAGTTTTTTGTACAATAATGCGGAGACTACAGAATACAGTAAGAGTAGTTATTAATTATAACTGAATAACATAAAAAATTCTTAAAAATTTAAATTGAATAGGTGGTGATTATTGTTAAATTTTTTATAATAAATGTAAATATTTATTAATTAACGTTTTTTTTTAACATATAAGTTTCAAATATTTAAACACTTTTTTAGAATATGTGGGTCTGGTAAATCAAGCAATGACATGTTACCTCAATAGTCTTCTTCAAGCATTGTATATGACCCCTGAATTTAGAAATGCTGTATATAGTTGGGAATACAAGAATTTAGATAAAAATACAGAAGACAAATGTATACCTTTTCAATTGCAAAAACTATTTCTTAATTTACAGGTATCGTAAAATATTTTTTTATAAATTAATATTGCATTTTTTTATCATTTTTCAAGATAACAATAATATACATTTTATTTAACAGACATCATCTAAACCAGCAGTAGAAACTACATCTTTAACTACAAGTTTTGGATGGAATTATCATGACGCATGGGACCAACATGATATTCAAGAATTGTGTCGAGTAATGTTTGATGCACTCGAACAAACATTTAAAAATACAAAACAAGCTGACCTCATCAGTGGACTTTACGAAGGTATTTTATAACTCAAATATTATATTTAGTTGTGTCTATATATATTAAAAAAAATTTAATTAGAATATAGTTCTATAATTTTATATTACTTACTTTTCAGGAAAGATAAATGATTACGTAAAGTGCCTAACATGTCATACGGAAAAATCTAGAGAAGATACTTTTCTTGATATTCCATTACCTGTGAAACCTTTTGATGCTAATGTAGCATATAAATGTGTGGTAAGATTTTAATTACTTATTAAATAAAAATTAAATTAATGAAAATGTTTAGATTTTCATTTTTTTCAATTTTTCTATATATAATTATTCAACTAATATAAAATGACATACATTTTTATTATTAATCTATGATGTTACAAAGTACAAACATATTTTATTTCATTTTTTAAATTTCTATGAAGATGATAATTATTTGAAATTAGAATGATTGTTTTTATACTCATGTATTAATTAAGATTAAACAGAATAACAATATACAGCTTCAAGATTTTTGTATATTTTTATATATTATTTATAATATATTTTAATTATAAATATATTATTTAATTATTACAGCAAGATGCATTAGAAGCATTTGTGAAGTATGAAACTTTGGAAGGAAACAATCAATATTTTTGTGAAGAATGCAATCAAATGTCCGATGCTCACAAAGGATTGAAATTTACTAAATTTCCATATATTCTTACTTTACAATTGAAACGATTTGATTTTGACCAAAAATCGTTCCATAGAATCAAATTAAATGATAAGTATGTCAATGTAAATACTCTACACACACACACACACACACACACACACATATAAGAAAAACCATATATTTATATTTTCTTTTAATTTTCAAAAATTATTTAATATCTAAAACTATCTTTAAAAAGTATATTTAAAACGTCGAATTAATAAGAAAAATTAATTTTACAATGAAAATATTGATAAAATAAATACTTTAAAGATAATTTAAAGGTGCCATTTGATGTAAAATTATGTTTTATATAATAAGTGTTTTATATAATAAATCTTTTACTATTAAAGTATTATAAAAGTGTCTATATATTTAATCTTGAATTAAACAAATTTACTATTTTTATAGGGTAGCATTTCCTGATTTTTTAAATTTGAATTCTTTTATTGATTCAAAGTCTAATCAGGAGTCTTCAAGTCACGAAGATGATGCTGGTATCAAAGGTGATGATAGTTCTACTACTCATAGTACAGTGGATGAAGAATGTGTATTAAATGATGTGAAAATGTCAAACAGTAATTATTTAAATAATCCTAATCAAGATGATGACGAAGGTTGCGCATTATATTATATTTTTATTTAGATACACATTTCTCTTATTTTCTTTTATTTTTTTTATTTAAAGAATCTTTTATTTCGTGCATATAACAGATATTATTTAAAGTTTATTTTGATTTTTTTGTGTAATTTTTATTTTAAATATGTAGGTATTGATATGAGACCTGGTATGGTGTCATGCAACGCATATAATTATTGTATCCAAAAATTACGGAAGGAATATGCATCAACAAAAGGACCATATATCTATGAACTGTTTTCGATTATGATTCACAGTGGTAGTGCTAGTGGAGGACATTATTACGCTTATATAAAAGACTTCAGAAATAAGAAATGGCAGTGTTTTAATGATCAAAATGTTACACCTGTATGTATATTTAGCTAATTAATTTAAATTTTATGTATTTTTATAAACAATTTTAGAAACATTTGTGACAATTTGTAAAATCTTTTGAATATAAAATTAAGAAATATGCTATAAACTATTTGTTAAGTTATTATAATTGACGAAAGGGGAGAGACAGAAATAAGAAACGTTAATAAATTATTGAATTCACATTTAATACAAAAAATCATTTCAGATCGATTCTTCTGATATTCCAAAAATCTATGGAGGTAGTACAAGGCCACCATTTTATACTGGAGCATATCGCAGTAGTACAAATGCGTACATGCTTATGTACAGACAAATTGATTTGGCTCGCAACGTCTTACCTTTAAAAACGGAAGATTTTCCACCTCATATTAAGGTATATTGTTAATACATTTTTTTTTGTATAAAAACAATTATTTTTCAAGTTGTTTTGATATATAATATATAAATATAAGAATATATGAAAAAAATAATATATATAAATAAAGGTTTTAAAATCTTTCTGTGTGAGTATCTATCTTAATTTTCTACTCATAACATAATTATTTGGTAAATAATAACTTTATTCCATATGTATTGAAATATTTTTGATACTTTTTTTATACAATTTTAATATTCCAAATATCTAATATTTAAGTGTATTGAACATCAAGTTCTTTAACAATTATTTATGCTTTTAATTCACAGTAATGACAATTGTTTCTTCAATTACCTTTCATACATTAAAACTGATTTATCATATAGGAATTCGTTGATAATATTATATAAATTATCTTATAATTTAAAATTCCATTTATTATATATTTCGAAGTAAGTTTTAATATTTCTTTTTTTTTTTTAATTTTAGATTTGTTAAATTTAAATTTAACTATTTTCATTGACCCTTCTTTAAAGTTCAGTATTCTTTTGCATAAATTTGTTTATTATTTCAATAATAATTTATATTTACATGACATTCATTAAATTTTGACACGTAGTCTTATGTTTTTACATAGGAGAATTTATGTGTTAGTTGATTTATTTAAAAATTTCTATGTAATTTAAGCTTAAATTTAAAAAAAAGTATTATTACAATTCTGATGTAAAGTTAGGTATAAAAATTTATTATTCTGCATATAATTAGTAAATGAATTGTATATATGGAAATATTTATAGATATTTATTTAAATGTAGATTATATTCAGTACAATGAATAACATTACTGTAAAATAGTTTAGTTAAATAAATTAAATTATTTATTAAGTTCATAATGATTTTTTTTGATATTCTAAATAAGTTATTCATGTATTAATTCATTGTAATTATCACAGTTACATTTGTATTTAACATAACTTTCGTAAAATACATTTCGTAGAATACATTGTTTTATGATTTGGCAGGATCTTCTTGAGAAGGTAAAAGGGAGCGAAAGAGTACGAAATTATCACGAGGAACAATTTAATACAGAAGTCATCAATGTTAATTATCGTTATCCAGCAAATGGTACTCTTCAATCGGTCACTGTACCAGTTAATATAAACTATACATTGGCCCAATTAACAGAAGCTGTTTATAAGAAAATCAAATTTGAAATTAAAGTTGAGCTTAATCAATGTCGTATAGTGAGCTATTTTACTAAATTTTGTCTTATCGATCGAACTTACGATGATAATACAACACTAGATACCATTTTTAAGGATCGATCAAAGATTAATAACTTACTATTAGATATACGCTATTCAAACAATTTTGAGCTCTGTCCGTCCGAACCTATTATTACTCAGGTATTATTAAATATTATCAAAATAATTGTAAATAATTTTTCATGTTTGTAATAAGTTAAACTTAATAATAATTAAGAATATTACATTTTACCCTTTAAAGAAAATGTTTACTTTAAATTTTATGATTTAGTCGTAGTATTTTTATTTTAAATGGATTAGTTTTATACACTGTATATAGAGTTTATTAATAAAAAATAACACATTTTATAGATTATATTAAAATATTAAAACTAATAATAAATCTATTTTAATATTTCTTACACTATTCATATATAGATACATAAAACACTATATTTTACAGTGATATGAAATATGCAAATGAAAGGAAGAATAATTTAATTCATTAGAATTAAAAAATTCACAATAACAAATGTTTTATTTATCTTCACTAAAGTTTGAAGAAAAAATTTAATTAATACTTATTTTTTATTTTATTATAAAAACTAATGAATAAACATTAAAATATACTAAAAATAAAAATATTTAATAAAAAATACTTAATAAAAAAATTAATCAATTGATTAAATCTTGTTGATATTAATAAATGTTTTAGAATTTATAGTAGTTAATTCATCGATCATTTTTATTATATTTAATATATTGTACAATAAAAAATATTTTATTTAGGTATTTCTAGTCGACCCTGTAAAACAGGATTTGATTGATTTTCCTAAGTATGTGAGAGCGCATGTGAATCAAACCATCAAAGAATATAAGCAGGAACTTAAAAAGTATTTTGATATAGATCCAAATATCATACAACTATTATGCCCAGACATACAACCAAAAAAATTGGAGGACGACTTTGTATTCGAAATGCAGTACTCAAATTGTAATTTTAACATCTGTGCTACAGAGATATCCGAAGCGGAGCCAGTGTTTTTTAAAATGAGCGAAAAAGAGTACTTGAACAATATTTTTACATTTGATTTAGATTTGGTTGATATTGATAGAGGTACGTGTACATACATCATAAAGTGCATTCAGTTTATTTAAAGTTAATCCTTATACAAAGGTAATATTGTAGCATATTAAACTGTTTTCAATAATTGATTTTTAACTAAAATAAAATAAGTAATATTTCTAAGTATTTGACAAGTATTGTCTTGTATTATCGATTAAATATAATTTTTTATTTATCATAGAGTTTATCTGTTTCATAAAATATATTGGGTATTCATGGATATAAAGTTTGTTCGTACTACAATTTTTTTTTACATTTATATATATATATTTCTCTGTGTATGTGTATTGACACCGGTAGGGCATAAATTTATTATCATTTCAAAATAGAGTGACAGCATAAAACTTGAATATTGGAATAAAAAATTGTTTTAATTTTTCATTTATAACTTAAATCATTATTAATATCATCTTGTATAAGTAAACAGTTATTCAGTTAAATATTTGTCCCACTGAATAATATGTAATTTAACACAACTACGTAACAATTTTTATTAACTTTACTATGATTATAATATTGGCAGAAATTTATTATTTCTTATCAAAATACTTAATATTAAGTATTTAGCCTGGTTATAATTAACATATATTAAAATTTCTCAGTACACTGCACTAAAAAATTTAATTGAATAAATTAATTAGATATTTTGTATAATAGGTAATTTTTAAGAACATTTTTATATTTAATATGATTGATAAATAATAAAACATTAATATATTTTTCATTGATATTTTTATAAAAGAAAAAGAAAAAATTTTTATACAGTAATACTTGATAAGTTTTAGATTTTGTTTTATTTTATTTTTTCACTCATCAATGATTTAGAATTATATGTTTTTCAATTAGTTAAAATGTTAACTTTATAAAATATTATATTATAATGTTTAATTATTAATTATAATATATTATGTTTACTAATTCAGATGAACGTGAATTTTTGAATATTCCACCTCTAATTGAAAATAACGAAGAAAAACATGAAGAACATAATTCCAGTACTTATCACTGTCCCATAGATGAGATATCAAAGCTTAATATGTCTTCGTTCAAAAAATATAAATGTAATAGTACTACGAAAGGGATTGATTTACAGGAAACAAGTAACAGTGAAGACAGCAGTTTAAGTGATAGTGATAGAACGTTAGTGGGTGACGTACCTGAGGATTCGGATTTCGATTGTGAAATAGCAGGTACCGGTATCAAAAATGAAGATATTGAAATTAAGAAGTGTATTAAAATTACAGATATACCAAATTCAAGATGTAAGTGGACATTTTTAAAACATAATTTTTTAATTATTCAAAATTTTGGAATATATTCTATTGAATTCTAAAATATTTTATTATTAAATTAAATAGCCATTGTATCCTTAAATTTGTTTAATAACATTACAAAGTTCAAATTATGGCTTAAACATAATTGTTCTGCTATTTTAGGTGTAAAAGTATCAATCAGTGCTGGAATTACAGAAGATGATTTGAGGGAAAGGTTACAAACTAAGTTACATATCCCTAAAGATTGTTTCAGAATATTTGAATTAGGAAAAGAGGAAAGTAAACTATTTAAATATAACACTACATTTACAAGAGGTAATCAATATCGTATTCATTTAGGAAGAGTACCTAATTGTGATGAAAGAAAAGTAGATATTTATATTTTGAAAATGGCATCTTCTGAAGTAAGTATAAAATATTATTACATTAATATAATTATAAATTAATATGCTTTTACATATTTAATATATATATATATATAGTAAGTAATTAATGATATTTGTATATAATAAAATAAAATAAAATTTATTATTGTTTTAGCCGCTACAAAAATTGTTCACTATAAATCTTAAAAAGAACATACAAATTGATAGTGCAAAAGAACAAATACTAGCTGAGTTGAAAAGAATAAATGGTATAGAATTGCGTTATGAACAATGTAATTTCATGGGAATATGCGATGGTAAATTATTAAGTAGGTTCTATGATGAACAAAGTTTCCACCTTACGTGTGATGAAATATGTATTCAAGAAAAAGAAATAAATGTTGATAAATCATCACTGCAAGTCTTCTTAAGAAGGTGGAATCGTTCAGAAATGCAATTAGATGTTGTTCAGAGAATAATTATCAATACTGATAACTTCAATGATCAGTTAAAAAATAATGTAAATTAATTTGATTATTTTTAGTTAAATAATAACTTTATTTACCGTTATTTTAATTCATAAATTCACAAATAACTATACAAAAGTTAGTTATAATATTGTAAAATTTCCCCTGAACGAAAATTAAATAAATAAATATTAATTACATTAATTAAATATTAAATTTTATAGAAATTGCATGTTTCTAAATTAAGTACAAAAAATTATGAATTTTAATATTAATGAAAACATTTATTTCAGATAAATTCAAGGTTCAACATCTCAATTGAAAATTTGGAATTTTCTATATTAACTGTTAAAAAAAATATGGCATCAGAAAATCCAGATTTATACGACTGGACTTCAGATATAAATTTTAAAGATGTAGATGTATCAAATTCTTACATCTTATGCAGGTATATAATTTTTGTATTTAAAAATATTTTTGTAAATTTTCTTGTGTAATTTTATTGTAATTTTTAAAAAATATGTTAGAATAATTTATTAAATATTTAATAATAAATGTGTATTCAATTAATGTTATAATAAAATTAAAATATATTTAGTGTTAGTATTTAAACCAGCATATAAATGAAATTGTAACTATATTTTTTATTTTATTATTGATTTAAATAAAACTTCTTTTTTTTTCTTAAATTTTAATCAGATATTATTTAAAAATATAAAAATATAACGATTTTTAAGTGTTATTTTGATCTCTGGAAAATTATATATTGTATTAAATTTTATTTAAATTTGTAATTTTTAGGGATTCCAAACAAACACCAAAAAGATTAACTGAAAGAGAAACAAATAAAATACATGTAGACAAGAAAAATTTGTTGGAACGGGGACGCATGGGAATATTTACTCCAATGACTTCCAGTCCAAGAAAAGAGAAGGCACTTAAAATACATGTACATTCTACATGATTTGAACAGAACTGAATTTATACTGAGGTGTACTTTCAGTATTAAATTAGTTAACTATCATTTCTTAAAGAAAAGGAAAACGAAAATATTAAATGATTTAGGTTTTGTTTTATTCTTGAATCAAAAAAGAAAAGAAAATGAAAATCAGTTTATGTGTATAAAGTTAATATAATTTGTTTGGTAGAAACCATTAATTAATCATCAAAATTATTAAATATTTAAACTAAATAGAATGCTAAAAACCCTTTTAATACCATATCAATTTTCATATTAAATGATTGCTCAATTAAGACAGTAAACCAATAAACAAAGTTCTGTCGTTGAAGACTGGAATCGCGAAAAATTGTCCATTTTCATGAAAATCCTGAAAAATATCGAAACATATTATGTTTAATTATTTTAAAATTATCCATAAAATGTCTTACTTTTAGCTTGATATTTCTTGTATATATAAAAATTTTTGAGTAATTTCATAATCTTTACAATCACAGTTTTAACATTTGGTTATCTTATATAAATTTTATTCAACAAATATTTGTTAATGGATTACAAACACACAACGCACCCACACACGCGCATATATGTATAATTAAATTTTAAAATAAGCCAGTTAAACTATGAACATAAATTAAACATATTACTGAATTTATAACCTTATAGGGAATAAAAATCATCATTGTTATAATAAACATAATTTGTTTGTATTTCTTAAAAATTGTCTAGCATTTTTTATATTGCAAATAATAAAATTACGATTTGATATTAAAAGGGTTGAAATAAATGAAATTTTTTCTGAATGTTTTTAAAAAATTAGGAGTGTTCTTTTTAAAGTAATTTGCAATAATTTCTAATAATTAACTTAGATTTAGTTTGTATTTATTGCTTTCTTGTTATTTTTATGTGCGAGAAGTCAATAGTTCAGAAATATGACTATAAGCATAAATAAATGTATTTACATTTTTTTTTACGAATTTTCTCTTAACTTTATAAATGTGAGCGTAATAATTACTGGTAATGATTGGTTCTTTTCATTTTTAAAATTTCATTCACGCGATTCTGTTTGATTCAATGTGAAAAAAATTATTTTTTAAACTAATATTAACATTATTTTTGGTTTACATTAAGAATCAATATAATAACTATGTTATATTGTATTATATTATGTACACATATTGATTGCACATTAATCGATATAATAAATAATACGACGCAGAAATAATATATGCTCCATTAATTTGCTTTAAATTGTAACAAATTACTATTACAATTTAAATTATAATATGCTTAAATTAAGTAAACAAAAAATGAACTGTAATACAATTCTCTCTTGAACATTGACGATCAATCTTGTTTCTGTACCATACATTGTAGTTATGAAACAAATTATATTTATAAATATTAAAATTGATAATTTATCACTGTGTTTGACTTTTATATTATATGTGCATGCATATGGCACCTTATACTAATATAATTTTTAAGTTTAATTTATATTAAATTTAGACTAAAAATAAATTTGCATATTTATTTAACTTTTTATTTTCATTATTTAAACATTAATGACTCATATTGTATGAAACATTTTCGTATAATGAAAATTATATAATGCTATTTACTAATAATGTAGTACTGGTTAGAAAAAAATTCAATAGTAATATGAAGACAATATTTTACGAATTTCTAAATATATTAAATATTAAATTTTATAAAATAATAAATTTATTTTTTAATATACATTGAATTATTTAAAAAAATTTATTTATCGAATCTCAAATAAATTATTTGAATTGTTGCATTTTAAGAAAATAATTGAATTACTCCTTATGATGACAATGATATATATTTAAGTGGTATTTAATATTGTACTTAATACAATTTACTAACCAAATTGGATTATGGAACAAAAATAAATAAATAAAATGGGGGGTCCATGGTCAAGCGTCGTCGCTTAGCTCGTGCGAGAGGCAATATTAAACAGACTCGTCGCTTTCTTGCCAGTAAATAACGAGATCATTTAACGCTACAAAAAACAATGAGTGCGTTTGAAATACGAAAATAAATAAAAATGACTATTCACAAGTGTTTTTCAGATGTACTGACCTTTTCGAGCCTCCAACGACCGTGGGATGTTTTATGGCAAGGAAAGGTTGACACAATCTCGAACAATACAATTTATTTAAAAATACATATATAACAAACAATTGTATTTGAACATATATTTTTATATAATTCAATATGAACATTTTGTTTTTTCTTTTTTTAGATAAAAGAATGAACAAGATTTAAAGTAAACAAAAAAATATATTTATATTTATTATCTTACATTTTTTCACTTTATTTACCTATTTTTAGTAATTTCTATATTATTTAAAGTGTATAATGCATATAAATATAAACAGAAGATTAAATAATTATTAATTTAAAAATGAGTATTATAGATGCAATAAAATGGTATAAATACAATTATCCTACAAATAGGCTTGCCAACCTTCAAATAGTCGGCTTAAATTTGTTGGATCACGGGCTTGTTGTATTAATCTTTCTACTTGACCTGCAATGCTAGAAGGTACCCCATCCTCTATTCCTTGTAATTTTTGTTGGACACGTAAAAGAGCTCTTTCTGCTAATTTATTTGTTTCTATAACTCCAGCTGTAGGATAAATTAATTATTTTTTATATATTTAATTTAAAGTCTTTTTTTTTTAATTATATTTTATATAGTAATTGTGATATTAATTTAAGAAATGGCAATACATTACAAGATTAAATTGGCATTAATAAAGTTAAATATTAACAAAAGTGCACAAATTTGATTTTCATAGGCAAAATAAAATATCATGATTTTAAATTCTAATTTGTAAACCTTTAAAATTCTTAAATGATATTTTGATTTTATATTTTGATTGAATCATCTATAACATAAGTACCTGGACTATTGCTTTCTTTGTTTTGACTAGATCGAGTAGAATGTTCACTTTGGTATGTTGCTGCTTTAGCTGGAGTTATAGCCCAAGAATAAAGAGGATCATATAATAATACTCTTAATAAAGTTACAATAATTTCTTTTTGTTCTCGTAAAACAGTCATAGTTTGTTCACAGCACTTTCGCATAGTTCCTTCAATACCCGAAACTCCCATCGCTATTTCAATATCTCTAGTCAATCTGAATGGTACCGTTTCTGGAGTTGGTAATAATTTTCCTTGTTCAAAAGCTATCCCTATGAAAATAAAAGATCTATGGATCATTACTTTTCATATCTTAAAATTTTTAATATTCTTCTCATTATTATCATTGCCAAATATATTTTTATTTATATAATATAAAAATAAATATCAATAAATCCATTAATCCATAATGTCACATAGATATAAGGATCTGCTAGCAAATGTCAATGTGTATGCATAAACACAAATACATATACTTTTATTAAAAACCTATTTAATTAGTCTGATTGTAAAATTGATTTTTTGTATAAGAAATATACAAACAGTATAAAATATTAAATATAACATTTACTTGTCAATATATTAACAATGAACTTAATAGATGCATATTAAAGAAGAGAACAATATTAAAAAAATTATTTTAATTGTAAAATAAATTTATGTAAAATATCTAAAATATCAGTGTCCAAATTTAGTTAAATTATCGATTTAATTTGAAATAAGTATATTTATTCAATTTTTAAGTACATATTTCGGATATTTATTACTCTATGCACCCTCCCCCCACACACACACATATGTAAAAACACACATAATATAAAATTCCTTACCAAAATCTATATGAATTACTTCTGCTGTAGATTTATCAATTAAAATATTTGATACATGTCTATCTCCCAAACCTAGAATATATCCAATAATTGAAGTCGTTGCCACGCTAAAATATTAAAAAATAATATTAAACAATCAAATCTGAAATTTCATTGAAGATAATATAAATAAATATAACTAATAGACTACCTTCTTGTATAAGCTAATCTTCGTTCGAACCATATTTCAGGTGATAAATAATTTTCAGTGAAGAAATGATGAAATGCTGGATGTAAATTATTACAACAATCCATAAAAATATTATATTTTTGTTGAATAGTTTTAGCGACCTATAATCACACAGAAATATTATTTTCATTAATTAAACATAAACAAACAAAACTATACATTTTGGCAATTATGGTTACATGTAGTCTTTTTCTACAATCATTTGGCGCATAGTCATTTGGAAAATACTTTTGATGAAGTCCAATTTGACTAGTTCCATCACCGGTAAGTATACAACTAAGGGGCAGTGTATTTTCGCACCACTGCAATACACCAGATCGTTGAGTAAGTGGAACAACTTTATATGTGCGAATATAAAGCTTTCGTTGCTTAGCATTTTTATTACTCTTTAATAAGGAATTCATTACTGTAAAAACTTGTTGCATCACCGCATCTTGGCGTAAATCATCTTTTCCCTGTACAAGATTTATACTTATTAATAACTTCGTTATTTAAAAAATCATTTATTACTATTTAATAATATATACTCATGTTAGTATGAATTAATATTTAATAGTATCTATATATATTATACGAAAATTCTAAAAGTGTACGTTTAGAATATATTAAAACATACGGTTATTATTTTTTTAAATATAGTTGTATTTGAACTCTAATCTTAAAATGCATTAATACAATAACAATGTATTTATTACCTTTACTAATTGTCGTCTTTCAACTCCATCAGTTCCAATACAAATAATTCTTTTAGGAGCATTTATACCACCAACGTTACTATACATTGATTCATACTTTTTTACACTAATAATATTTCTGTAATTTCCATTTTTTTTAACATCAATAATTACCGTTGGTATAATCGAATGCTCAAAGTCTCTAATATCGTGTAAAGTTACATTTTTCGGAATAGAAATCTTAGAAATTGTAGCTGCGAATTTCAATATTTAATTAAATACAAAGAAAATTGAAAATTGAAAAAATAACAATTTATATAATTTATATATATATTTATATTTTGTGATTGTTGTTGTTGTTGTTGTTGTTGTTGTTGTTGAATATGTATTTATTATGTATTGAGACATTAAATATTTTAAAAGACAACAACTTTAACAGTATGTAATATAATAAATTATTTATTTCTTATAACATAACTATTATACACTAATAAATGGTTATTCTATATTAAAATGGACTTGATCAATATAGAAAACTAAATACGTTCATCCAACAAAAGGCAAATAAATGAAATAAAAAATGAAATATAAATAAATTTTGAAGTGCTCTTTTTAATATATTCTTAAAAAGACTTCCCAATATATTTCATTAGCATTATACGAATAAATAGTTTCTTGAATTGATGATATTTTAAAATAAACAGTCAAAAAGATATGTGGCGTGATTATAGTAAATATTGTATCTTTGTTAAATGTATTACATACTTATCTCACCCTTCCAAAGTACACGTATTTTATAATGATTTTTAAACAAAAAATATTGAATAAAATGAGCATAAAAAAGAATCAATCTCACTATTTTTCTTATCTAAATCAAAGTATGCCAACATCACTAAAGCATCCGACAATCGATCCATTTCTTGTATTATTGGTCTGATATTTGTGCATAGTAGTTGCTGAATAAGTTGCTGAGCACCAAGTACTCGAGGTTCTTGCCTAGCTACTTTTCTACTGCAGAATTTTGAATCATTATGAAGATTCTTTAAAGCTAATAATGTTGGTAACGTATGGTGTGGATGTTCCTTGGCACATCGCTCGAGTAATTGAAATATCTTACGCGTGAAAATATCACTTATGTTACTCATGTGTGGTGCTAGTTGTGGTACTAACACTATAAATTTATAAGATGGAATTTGTTCAAGTTGCTTTTCTATGAGTTTGTTCACTTCTTCGTCATACATATTATCGAGCCAAAGAGAAATTAAACGGAATACCAAAAGATCGTATTCGTCGCTATCTTGCAGAATCGATAAATAGTTTCTGAAAATTTATATTTTGAGATATAATTTAACAGTTCAAAATTAATATGAAGCTTTATAAATTTTTATGACATAATAATAAATCATTTAACTAAATTTTTAATCAATATTTAACGGAATACTAGTTATTGGAATACAAATATTATTGGAAAAAAAAAATTACATCGATTTTTAAAATATGCTTATCAAAAATGGAGCGTAAACAAAATCACGTTGAGAAATATTGTGTTTAAATTGTTCATGGTACTGCAATTAAAATCTTCAATAAATTTATTCATTAAATTTATACGGCGATAAGAAAAAAAAGAGAATGAACTATTTATAAAAAATTATTAATAAATTAATTAAAATTATAATAAATTATACAAAATATTAAACAATTAAATTTAATTCTTGAAGTAATATTAAATGATAAATAATAAGATACATCATCTCGAAATTAAAAGAATATCTTAATGAACTTGAAGTTAATTATAATCATTATGAAAATATATAAAACGAATTTATTTTAATATAATTAAACATATAAATCAAGACTTAGTATTGTAATGTATAATAATAATCCATCCTCGATGCGTCTTGGAATTACCACCTATGTACTTTGAATTCGCATTCAATAGCTTCACGAATAACTGTATTATAAATATTTGAAATTTTTGAAGAAGTTTATATAAAATTAAAAACTTTTTGCATACAAAACTTCGTTATTTAAAAAATCAAATTCATTCTTAAGAAAATTTAATCCATTGCGAGGGAATGGCCTTGGATCATCGTAATTCATTGAAATGTAAACAAATTTATAAACAAATTTAAATTTGTAATATTTTCTAAAATTAGGTTTTATAAACTTTTAATAACTTTTGAAAATATAAGGAATTTTACTTACTTTATTGCTAGGGATAAATACGTAATTTTGTCTTTTTGTATATTCTCCAATTCAATGCAATCATTGGAACTCTGTTTTGAATTAATCTTCACTGCCCGAAGAACGTCAACGTCATTCATTTTAATACTTTTCGGTACAACATTTCGCGAATAATCTATACACTCCTTTAGGCTCTCAAATTGTGGAGATTTCATGTAGTCTGTGATAATTAAGTATTGCTCGTGTGCAAATTGGGCTAAAGCCGCGCACGACTTACATTTATTTTTTAAGTCATCTACAGTGAGTTTAGATATTGCTGAGTAAGTATTAATTGCTTTTTTATAATACTTACTGATAATAGCCTACGTAATGATAAATAACAATTGCATACAATAAGAAACAATATTATATAATTCTAATTTAGTCTAGTCAAATACAGTTCTTAGTATATATTTTAATACTTTTTTAAGCAAAATTAAAAAAATTTTAATATAAATTTTTTTATATATGTTTTTATAGTGTACAAATTAATAATAAGCTCATATTTTACATAATTTTATACAACTAAATAGTGTTAAAACAGTGGAATAAGTTTTGTTATTTTATTTCATAAAATATATACAAAATATGACAATAAGAGATTTATTAATTTTAACAGATATTATTCAAAATGTAATATATTTAATGATTGACATTTTTACCTGTGGATTCTCAGATTTATTTTCAGCTATCCAATTGCCATAAATACGTAGAGTTCGTGCTAATAAACTTAAATTTATAGAGTCCTTTCTTAAGAGACTTCGAAGGTTGAACCGTGCCATATCTTCATCATTTCTCATCCACGCTAAACAAGCTTCATAATAAAGAATTTGATTCTCAGTTTCTTCATCTAAATCTATTTGTTTTGATAGACTTTCTGCAAATCGAACATTTAAATGTAAATATATTTTATTCCTTTTTTATACAAGACTATGTAATTAAGGAATACTTTTTTGAACTTACAAAGTTCTTTTTTGTCAAAATGTTTTATTGTAATTTACAATATTTTTTACATTATTGTTCTTATTGAAACTGTAAAGCATAAAAACAAATCGCGAATTTTTATTATAAAAATTAACTGAATTTTATTTAAACAATATTGTAAATTATAATAAAAAATGTAGATTTTTCAAGGTACAATAATAGTTACCAAAACCACTCATTAGCATACTCGTTACCATAAATTCGAAGATAGGCACATAGAGGACCGACAAGGTAGGAGGGAGAGGAAGAAGTGTGTGTGTGTGTGTGTGAGAGAGAGAGAGAGAGAGAGAGAGAGAGAGGAGTTGGTAAGAAGAAGGGATAGACTTCTCTAACAAAAAAAAAGAATTAATTTAAAATTATTAATATATTTTACTTACTTCTTTATTTTTTAACTGAATATAAATGATTATTTTTTGAAAATAGTTTTAATATATAAATTTTTTATACATAATTTATAAAACTGGTTATTGCTCTTTTTTTAAAGAAAAATGTGCTTATTTTATCACTTATTATTCGCTATTCATCATTTATTTGAATATATAATTTGAATATTATTATGATACACATAGTTAATTTTATTTATTTCTTACCTAAAGCGCGAGCAGCTACATTAAGATATCCTTGTTGCTGTGCTAATTGTGCGATTTCCAATTGAACATTAATTAAAGCATTCTTGACAATCGTACTATTTTTCAAAGATTCTTGAATTTGAAACATTACTAACCTTTGAGAGAGGATAGGCTCAATGTATTGAAAACTGTTATTGCAAATATATTTTTGGTTATTCCAACGGACGAAAAGAATTTCATAATCGTCAGACTTTGTTGAGCTAAATTCTTCAATTTCTCGAAGCATTTGTAATTGAGAAAGTTTTGGATATACTGCCTTGCAACTTTCTAAATAAATCGTGTAAAAAATAATGTCAATAAATTATATTAAAACATTCACATTGTAATTATATTATCGCAAAAACTAAATTATATATTTTTTAATATTTTTAATTTAAATATTAAGTAATAAAAAATTTTAATAAAATAGTATCACTTTTCATTTTCAATAAAAAATTTAAATGCATTCTTATATTTTTCAATTCTAATATGAGACGCGTATTCTGAAATATGTTTATTAACAAACATAAAAATAATAAATATTACACAAATGTTTTAAATCTAATTACATTTTATGAAATTTGTGAAATACGCATTAATTCTTTTATAAAATATATTTATCAATTATTTTGTAATTACATAGTTTTTAGAAATAAATTTTATTTATAATATAATTTTTTGCATAAAAGTCCACCATAAAATAAAAAAAAAAGCTTACCTAAGCTGATATTGCTAAGATCTTTAATAATACAAAAATAAGCTTGTTCAAGACAAGATTTTAATGAGCTATTATCGTTTTTATGCAGACACTTTAAAGCTTCATAATGGTACATTGAAAAATCGCAAATATTTTTGGATGTCCGAGATGTTTTTAAATTTGTAATTCGATTCCAATCACTTAATCTCCATAAAGAATCATAGCATAGATCATCCATGAAATCCGGTTTTCCTGATGTTTTACTTAATAAACACTTTGCTAAATAGTGAAGACTAGATTCTTTTAAAGCATTGATCATTCCTTAAAATAATTCAAATAAATATATTTCATGTTAATTACATATATATTGAGTTTTTAAAAAATATTTCATTCTGTTTTCAAACTTGTAATAATGAAGATGATATAAAATTTCGAGTGTCATTAATTTTTAATTAATTTGCAATTTCTATAACAATCTATTCTATATATTACAGTATATATAATTCTAATTTTAAAAAATTAGGTGTGAGTAAAATTATATTTTCTAATACCTAATTCTTAGAGTTCAAAGGCCTGAACATTTATAGCGTAAAATATAATGTTTTATTATTTTACAATTTTTCACGTTTTTATTATTTTATAATTTTTCACGTATTTGTTACAAGTTATACTTGCTTATTATCCATACTTCATTAATTGTTAAATATTTTTCATATGAGAATATTATTAATTTATACTATGAAAGAAATTTAGTGAATATTTATACCTCTAGTGGATGAGTTGCTAACAACACTCAATTCAACGTCTTGTGATAGTATGAGTTTATCCAGTTTTTTAAAATTCATGTAATATGGGATTCTGGATTTCCGATTTTGCAGATGCGAGGACCCACAGCCATAAATGGAATCTACATCTCCGATTTTTATGTACGCTTCCTTCAATATATCTTGTACAAGTTTTCCCTGCTTGTTCTCTTGTTCGTAAATTTGATCAATGATTGGAATACTGTCAAAGTCTCTAGATATTTTTAAATTAACTCGACACCATAATTCAGCATATAGTATCGAAGAAAAATATGCAGAACAAAATTGTGCTGCTAGAGCTATTGGTAGATAATCAAATTCTAGGTGCATCTGTTCCTTTGTTTGTATCCTTAGATGACTAACAACGTTCAACATACACCGTATTGCATCGTGTGCTATGGATGTCGATATTTTCTTATTAGAGGAAAAATTAAAAAAATTGTATTATTAAACGTTATTAATTTATCAATTTATTTATTTAATTCATTAAATTATAAAACTTTATTTTACTTTATTGCCAATGTAATATATCGAAGACAAAAATTATAATAATATAAAAACTAATTAGTTATAAAAGTGTGCGAGTCCATAATTACCTGTGATGAAGAGCAGAAAATTTCATTGGTTTCGTCATTTTTATAAAAATAAAATTTGAAAAACTGATTAATGCATTGACACACTTTTTTCGTTAATTTTAAATTATCATGGATGATGAGGCTAATTAAGCGAGGTAATGTTAGCTCACAAAATTGGACATGCAAATTAAAAAGTGGGACAAGATTTTTACTGTAAAAGTTGGTGAGACAATTTGCCACTGCAGATGTTATATTTGCTATCCAAGTACCATAAGATTCGTTAGATTTTTCAGTCCATAAAGGATTATCTTCGCAAAAAACTTGATTGTATTCAGTAATGTCAATTTGAACTTTAATTCTGTTCATATGTAAGAAAAGTATATAATCAGCAATAAAATAAATCAAAATAAGAATTTTTGTTAAAAAAAGTGATCAATAAATGAACTGAAGGTTATTTTCCATATTTCATAAAACAATATTCCACCATTATTCTAATAATATTTATACTTAAAATAGAAGTATTAGACGCCTACGTGAATTCAATTAAATCAATATATTATATGATGTATATTTATTATTAATAACTATGAACTTGTTTTTATTTATAAATCTCAATATTCAAATTGAATATATAATGTGGCTAATAAATTTATCCTATTTGTTATATTTTTTACGAAGAAAATTAATATTTATTATTTTTCAGTTAAAATACAATATAGATAATATACTTATAGCGTCCTAGCAAAACATAAATTGTATAAGCACATATAAAAAATAAATTATAAGTGAGAATTAAAAAATATTTATATATGTATATAACGCATTATATATTGTATTTGTATATATATATATATATATATATATATATATATATTGTATTTATTGTATTTAGTTGTCTATTATTAATAACTTTGTAATAAGTTTAGAGTAAAGTAAATATGAGACTTTTTGTATACTTAGTTTAGTTTATTATTAAAATCAGTATATTTTATAATAACTATGATTTTAATCGTGATAAATAAAAGATAGTTTTAAAAATTAATTAAAACAAATACTTTATAATAATAAAATACAATGTGTGGTTAAATCAGAGATGATAGCAAAAATGTTTAGATAACTATACAATCGTACACATGGGAAATTTATATATACAGAATACTTATGAAATAACTATTAATAAAGTATATATTACTTTTTCAAAATTAATAAGGATTTATTGAAATTATATATTTGATGCCATATAACAATAATGTTTGGATGTAATTTTAATTTAACATATGAATAAGTCGGTAATTTTATGATCGGTTAAAACACACAATTTCTATAAATTATGTAACTAATCAAATTTGAATGAAAAATATGATTAAATAATATATTGAATTTTATTTTAATAATTACATAGGAAATGAAAAATTAAAATGAACCATTAATATTTCCTTTAGGAATTTATTTATTTTTTTTTTTTTAATTTATATTTGAAAATCACGTATGAAATATCGAACGTTTTACAACTACTTCATTACTTTGGTAAATTTCTAATTATTCTTTAAGTACAATTATTTTATGCTCAAAATTACGTATTGAAATTTATATAATTGTAATTTTAATTAAGCTTACCTGGAGGCCAGAAAATTGTGGAGACTTCTAAACGGATATAAAAAATCTTTGAAGAATGTAGAAGTCTTGTCATTATCGAATTCTCGTTCAATTAAACGAGTTCCCCATGGTGTATCCAGTACTGCATAAAGTGCCTCACTGCTAACTATTCGCAAGTTAATGTCGCTACTCACAACAAAATCTGCTAACATTCGGCAAATATCGCGTGTTAGAAGATCCACTTTATCTATCGATTCTCTCATTTGCATCTCTTGTGGATGAAGTATCATAGTAGAAAGATTAGCAGGTCCAAGGATCCCCAGGCATTTTGCAGCTTCAAGTACAATCGTTGTATTTTTGTATTCGGTAAGACGTATGAGTCGATAAATGAGCCGATGTAATACACTTGGGGTAGAATATTCATCAAAGCCTTGACTAGATTCCAATTCTTCGTATAATTCCTCGAGTTGGCATTTCTTTATAATCAGTTGATTCTTCAATATTAAAAGACTATTAAGGCTGCAGTTTTCGTCTTCACTTACATTTAAAAAGTGTTCCATATTCTCTCGTAAAAGCTAATATATAAAATAAATTTGACTTTAGTGTTGATATTAATAAAAATTTAATGATAATGTCATTAAACATAATATAAAAATTAAATATAGTATAAATAGTATAAAATTAATATAATTAAAATACTTTAATAGTATTTATACTAAAAAAATATAACAATGAAAAAATATATAATATCAATAAGAATCCTTTTTAAAAAACTTTTAATAGAAGTTTTTTTGTTTATTTTTTTATTAAACACTTGTTAAAGTATTTAAAGTTTATAACTTTAGGAGTTGTTATATTATTTTTAAAGCTATTTATAAACATAAATTTTGATATTATTTTTAAATTAATTAATTTTTAGGATAAGTCAATTTGGATTAATGCCAACATTGATTCACATATAATTAATGAAGCTTAATAATCTCCAAAGCTGCAATAGTATAATTAATAAAATCATTATTAAAAAAAAAAAAAAATAAATAAATAAAATAAGAAGAAATGAAATTCTTGATAATTTATAAGTAACATTAATTATACTATACTTATAGTTCTTACATAAATGATTTTTAAATTACAATTTCATTTGATCATTTTAGTTTTTACCTGTGATTCGGTATCCTGGTCATTTGTTGATCTTAAGATGTTAGGTAGACTATCTAAATTTTCTATCGGAGTAACGAGACAATGACTTTGCTCTTTTAATAAAAAATTTAATATGTCGTTAGCAATCAAACAATCAGTTTTATCAAGAATGAAGGGCGAAAGCGTTTTAACACATAAATTCAAGATATTGCCTACTTCTGCGAATCTTTTTGGAAGGATAGTTTTTAAGAATATGTGCAAATATTTACATGCTAATTGTGTAATATCATTATTTTCTTTTATTAAATTCAATAAAGTACATCCAATATCTTTAATGAAATAAGTTGCGACTGGGTCACAGTAGCTCTCTTTTAGTACCTCAGCGATTTTTGAGCAAAAATAAACATACTGATGTAAGCTTTTTGCCTTATATTCTATTATATTATTAGCATATATATTGCATGTTAATTGTAGTAAGATTTTTTGCACCGTACACGAATGTCGTGTCATTATAAATAATAACACAGATTGATAGTTTTCTCCACAAATTATCGTTGTTAATCGATCGAAGCAACAATTAATTACGTCCTTCTTATAGTGGGGAGGATCAAAGGCGGGCAAAATTATAGATTTATTGAATGTAATATAGAAGTCATCGACGTCGTGTAATCGCTCCACTAAAAAGATAAAAAAAATTACTTCTTCAATTTTTTTATTGGTAAAAATTATATTATATAACTCGATTCCTAATTATAATTTTTTATTACTTAATAATTATAATGCATATACAACTTCAAAATATTTTTATATCGATAATGTATAACATTAAAACGATGTTTTAATCTAATGATTTACAAACATAGTGTTTTACACATACGGCAATGATCTAATTGATTAGTGCGATACTTTTGAAAAATATTAAACATTATTTCTGATATAAAAATTGAATGCATTTTATTGAAAAATTATATTTCTTAATAATATTTAAAATTATTTTATATTCATCGTAATAATATGAAATTATAACGTACAGCGTAATAAATTCTTTATCAAGTTTAATAAAATTAAGGAAACGAGAAATACAATTTATATAACTTCAAATTGCTGGGCTTTTTAACAAAATGTTATATAAAAGAACTAAAGTAAAAAGCATAAACCAAATGGTCGAGACAATGAAAACAAATTATTTATTGTTTCATACATTGTTTTATATTTCAGAAACTACTGGGAATTTATAGAAATAAAGGCAACATTGTTTACCTAAATGTATAATAACTTCCTGAAGATTTATTCTTTCGAGAACCAAACAATTTTGCATTTCTTCAAAGATAGATGGATTGCTTCGTATTTCTGAAGATTCGTCTGTTAACATCCAGGGTATAATCTTGGAACAGCAATTTTTAAGAGTCTGCTCAAATGGAACACCAAGTTTGTGGCATATGCTTTGAGTATCGTTTATTTGGCCTTCACGAATCAGTACAGGAAAAATTATGTCAATATAACGTTTGTAAAAATCCGTTTCACTTGTACAATTAAAAAGAAGATATGGAAATGAATCAAGACTTTTCTCACGGCACCAACGTGAAAATAGATAATTAAAATTTTGTATGACTATGCATTTGCAAGAAGTGTTGAGATTTTCAATTACATGTAAAACGTGCTTAGCTATATTTATGTCGATATCTGCAAATAGTAATAATTAATGAATATATGTAATGTTTAATACAATATTTTTAAAAATAATACACAATTTAAATAATTTTGTATTTATTAATATTGACATTTATATATTCATTTATCAACTTATCGTCCTTTTTTTTCTTTTTTTACATATTTTTCTGTTTTTTATTATTTCTTTACCATTTAAAAAAATTTTCAATATCTTTTTTTTAATATCTTTCAAAAGTCATACGTAAATTTTAGTTTAGGATAAACGTTATTTTTTCACGTTAGTTTACTATGAATCTAGCTTACTACCTACTACTTTTTACGAAAATTAAATCCATTTTTCTTGAAATCGCAATTTTTAAAGTTAATTACAAATCTTCAAATATTTTATATACATGCTCGGTAATTATATTTGTTTAATCATTTAATTTTTTAATATTTTTAATTTGATAAGTTTTACCAGTTGAAACGCTCATATGATTTCAGATCTTTAATAATGATTGTAGTATTTTGTAAAACTACTACAAGAAGTAGTACAAGAATTTATTTACTTCAAAGAATATTTAACGTTTAAAATTATACATTACCTTTGTCAACGACGATTTTTAATAAAGTAAATAATGCAGAACTTTGAAAAGTACTTTTACTACAAATCACAACAGCTAAAGTTTGCAGAGCACTAGTACTTCTTAATAATCGTTCTTCCTGTAACTCTTGAATATTTAATTCTCTTTGAATTAGAAAAAGTTTATAAATAGCATCTTCCAATTTATCAAAAAAATTAGATTTCCAAGAATGCTCAAATTTTGATGAAGAAAATATAGAGTTCAAACATTTTAAATTTTCAAACCGTACAAGATAATAAGGACTATTTATAAAAGTTATAAACATTTGGTCATTTAAAATATCAATTTTGGTATTAAAAATTTTTTTGTCTTTAATAATGTTATTTAAACAATTTATGAATGATAGATGAGTTAATTGTCCATATACACCTTTGGCAAAACAATCATGATAAAGTTTACAAATTAGTAAAATATTGTGTATATTAATATTATCTTTATCTTCTGTATATGTAATTTTTTCTAAAATTTTTGGCAAATGTTGTAACAAACAATGGGTGATTATATTATCTTTCCGCCATTCTTCAAATAATTCTATTATAAAATTAACTAATAGCTCTATAAATTCTTCCCTGATTAAATTATTTGACATATTGACAAATATGTTTAGAATTGTAGTAACACATATTACATCACTTTGTATAGATAAACTGTATTTTTTAAGTTTTAAAAGGGTGCTACTTATTTTAATTTGTAATTCTGACATTTCACTTCCAGCATCTATACAACAATATAATGCTAATATAGTAATGGCATTTATTTTACATTCATCTGTATTCGAATCTGGTTCAAATTCATCATCTTCAATTTTGCAAATATTGTATATTTTTTTTAACATTTGAAAATTTATTGATCTTAATATAATATCATTAATTACTACATCATAGTTTGTGTCACATAGTAAAATTAATGATTTTGTTATTTCTAATGTTAATCGTGTTGCTTTTGACCAATTAATATTTGTAATATGATCAACAATTTTTGTTAAACATATTTTTAATTCATTGACAAGACAAAATTCATCAAAATTACATTCGATCATTTTCATTGCCTTCAAATCTGAAATAACTTTAGCCATTAATGTAGTTTTCGTTATAAATGAATTAAAATCTTTATCTCGATCATTTACTTGAACACTTTGTATTAAGCTTTTGATTAAAAAATTTAAATCTTCTATAATGTATGGATTTTCTGTATTATTTTCATTTAATATTTGCATATCCTCATTATTAGTTTGAACAACAAATAAGCCCGTTTGAAATTTAAGTGATAGATAACAGCGTTCAATATCTTCTGTAGCTATTGTTTCAACATTATCAAATTTATGCTTGAAATTCATATTGCAACTATTGTAAAAATTATTTTGGGAATCATTCTTAAGTATCTTATACCAACTTTTTAATGTAAAACCAATTAAAATTTTACTATATGCTTCAATTGGTAAAGGTATTGTTAATCTTCTAATTGTCATATTTAAAGTCCACTCTAATAACTGTATTTTTAAAGAATTATTTGTTGATAATGTGAAATTCTTATTGAAATCTTCAATCTCATTTGGTAAAACAATATTTTCACAAAATATTCTTAAAGTCTGTATACTAAAATTTGACCACTGAATTGATTTTGTTAAATACAATTTTAAAAATGTGTTTGGGTTGGATATTTTTTCATAAATAATAAGATTTTGGACTAAAATATATCCTTCTTTTATAATTTCTTGATGATTCATACTTAAATATCTAAAATAATCAAAAACCATATTAAAAATGATATTTTAAACTGTGTATATACATGTGAATAACAATAATAATTTCAATTACACAAGAAAATGTAATCGACTATGTTTTATATTTATTGATTATTATTTTATATAAAATAAATATAATTTCTGAATAAGTAATCCAAGATAAAGATTTTAAATTAATTTTTAAATTCAACTTAAAACAAGTTATAAAACAACTTTTATTAAAATATTATATAAAAATTAAAATGTAAGAAGATATAATTTAAATGCATTACCTTAATACACTATCCCACACTTTATTCCAGTAAGTTATTAAAACAATTTCTTTGTATCTTTTTTCATTTTGAAGAAATACTGTAGCAAGGTTACAAAGATTTTCCATGATATAAAAATTTTTACATGCTTGTCTCAATAGTTTAATTATAACATCTAAAAATTCCATATATTCATCAAATTTTAAACAGTCAGGATATTTTTTGTATAACATTGCGGCTATTTGAATTATAGGCCATGCTCTTTCAGGATCATTCCCATTAATAAAATCAACTAATCTTTCTATATTATCTGATGTACGTCTTCTTTTTTTTGGTTGAATGTATATACTGTCATGAAGGGTACTTGATTGAGATAAATTTGGTAATTTCATAAAAATTTTTTGTCTGAAAACTAAAAAATATTTAGAACTAAAAATAGTATACTTATATTATAAAAATATTTATAAATAAAATACTTTAAGTTAATATTTTATTACTCATACTGAATAATATTATTTAAATTTTATGTTAATTTATTTTTTATCGATTTAAATACGAAATCAATAATTTTACACAAAAATGTATAATATATAAAATAATACAATAATTGTTATCAACTCTCTATGAATGTAGAATTACAATTTTATTTTTATCAACTATCTCTCAGCTTAATTTATAATAAATGTATTCATTTAGAAGTTAATTTTTAATTATCTTTCTATTTTATAAACTTTTTTAAAAATAGTTTATAATAATCTTTCTTTTATAAAAATATCTTTTTTATTAAAATTTTAATGAAAAATCAATAGTTATCAATAAGAAAGTAAAATAGAAAAAAAGTAATAAATATTGAAAAATATTTACCTTCACAAGACAAAGCAATAAAACTCTTTGTTAACATTGTAGATCTTATATCGTTTATTATCATTTTGTATAATAGATTCAAAATTGCTTTCCATTTATCTTGATCATGAATATAACAGACATCATCACCTAAAGTAGCACCATTAGGATGATGAATTTGTATTAATAGAAGATATAATTTATATTTTTCTTCTGGTCCCTTAAGATTTATTAGTGTTAATGGCATATTCTCTGAAAATCTAGACAAAATATATCTACTATCTATTGCAATTTGTTGACATACTGTGTAAGTTAATTTAAATAAAATATCAGTCGATTTAATATGATATAATTCATAGTTTTCTAAAAGATTAGCTAAAACAACAACGCATTATTATTATTGATCTGTTTAATATAACTTATTTGATAAAATATAAAAATAATCCCATATACCAATTATTGGTAGTAGATTTCTTATTTCAAATAATAAAGTAGACAAAGAACATCCATATTGAACAATGAGTTCTACAACTTGAAGAAGTTTTACATAATCAATATTTGGAATAATATTTTTTAAAATAGAAATACAAGCATTTAATAAGTCTTGCCATAGATTAGGATCAACTAATATTCTCTGTGATCTCTCTTGAAGTACATGTTTTCTCAAAATTCCTAAATACAATTCATAAAACTCAGAATAAATATGGGTCTTTTTAATTTCTAATACTTGTAAATTTGATAGAATGACATCTTTAGCCTTTAAATAATAGTTGGCTTTATCTGTGATTGAATAAATAAGTTTTATAATTCTGTCTTTGTCAAGTTTTCCAGAATTTCCACTAAGTTTACTAATTCGATCGATTTCCTTTATTAAAGAAAAATTAAAGTATAATTATAATATTAATTAAATTGAAAAAAAAATATTAATAATATGTAAAAATTACAATTATAAATAGTTCGTGTACAATGTTAAAAATGTTATTCCAGGAATATGAATTGTATTTAACATTTGATCCAGGATTTTTAGAATATTCAGTTATTTGTTCAAAAGCTATCTCTGAATTATCATCCAAAAATTCTAATAAGAGTTTTATTGCTTTCTATAAAAAAAAAAAAAAAACCAGAATATATATATATATATATATATATAAACATATAAATATAATAAATTTTTATAATTAATATATTTTAATAAAAAATTTTATTTATACCTTATAGTCAGTAACTTTTTTACTTTTTGCTAATGAGAAAATTTGTGAAAGTCGATCCACGAAAGTGGACATTTTCGCAATTATAAAAATAAAAATACATCTGTCTAATAAATTAAATTTAATGATAATACGATTTTCTTACTGAGAATAAATTCTATTTAAGCGAGTGTAATAATACATTTTGTGCAGCTTAACTATAACTTTTTAAAAATGTGCTCCACTCTCAGACTCCATGTGATTGTCGAGGTATACGAAACGAATGTTTTTCTTATTTTGAATGGATTTCGTCCCGGGTCGGATAAAATCCTTCTATACAGTATAATCAAGGTTGGCGGTTAATCGACAAAATTGACTACATTACGAGGAGTCAAGATAACGGCTAAGTTGACTGTGGTTGGACAATCGGGTTACATAGAAAGTACTAAGCGCACAAGTGATAAATATGATGAACCATGCAGTTCCGGGGATCCGGAAATACAGAAGCAGCCACCTGGTGATCGTTCGTATGATGTAAATTTTTTCAGAAAAAAAAAAAAATTTTAAGAGTAATAACCATTCGTAATCGGAGTCGTCGTATAGTTCGTAACAGAAGTGTTGATAGGTACTGAGTATTCATTAGGTATTATGCTATTCGCGCGCTTTCTTTATCCTAAATTGTAACTTTTAAAAAATAATAATGTCTTCAGATGCGATGCAAGTTACGTCTAATTTACCTTGGTAAATAATTTTGTATAATTTTTTTAAATCTCATCTGGCTTTTTTTTCAAGTAATAACAAATTTTCAATGATTGTAGGGTTGAAAAGTATCGTCCAAGTAAGTTATGTGACTTAATTTCTCATGAAGAAATTTTACAAACGAGTAAGTTTTGTATAGTCTTAAAAAAAATTAATCTTACACATTCAATTAACTCAAAATATTTTATTAAATGTATATTTTAGTTAATAAATTTATTGATGAAGATCAGTTTCCACATTTATTGCTATATGGACCACCAGGTACTGGAAAAACGACTACAATACTTGCATGTGCCAAAAAACTCTATACTCCACAGCAATTTAATTCTATGGTAAAAATTTGACACCATTTTACATTGTAGGAATATTTATAAAATAAATATAATAAAAAATTATTGAAACTTAATAGGTTTTAGAACTTAATGCTTCGGATGATAGAGGAATTGGCATTGTCAGAGGGCAAATATTAAGTTTTGCTAGTACAAAAACTATTTATAAATCAGGATTTAAATTAATCATACTAGATGAAGCCGATGCCATGACTACAGATGCACAAAATGCACTTAGAAGGAGTTAGTGTTTTTTTATAAAATAGACAATAGCTGTTTTTTTTATATAAAAGTTTTAATATGCCTTTATTTATTACAGTTATTGAAAAATATACAGATAATGCACGATTTTGTATCATATGTAATTATTTAAGTAAAATTATACCTGCTCTTCAATCACGTTGCACTAAGTTTAGGTTTGGCCCTCTTGCTTCATTACAAATTTTACCACGTTTAGAATATGTTATTAAAGAAGAAAAGTTAGTGAAAACAACATTCATTTTTTCTTAATTTATAAGATTATATTCGAAATTTTAAGTAAACAATAATTTCTAGTGTTACTGTAACTGAAGATGGTAAACAAGCATTAATAACATTAAGTGGTGGTGATATGAGAAGAGTAATAAATGTTTTACAAAGCACATGGTTAGCATTTGGATGTGTCAATGAAGTGAATGTATATTCTTGCGTTGCTCATCCACTGCCAATAGATATCAAAAATATAATCAATTGGTTATTAAACGAAAGTTATGAATTTGCTTATAATAGTATCCTTTTTAATGTTCATTTTAAATTTATATTATAAAATGTTCATATTATTTTCTATACAAATAATTAGAAATTCAAGACCTAAAAACAAAAAAAGGATTAGCATTGCAGGATATATTAACAGAAATTCAAGTTTTCGTCAATAAAAGTAAATAATAATTTTTATTCAATAATATATATTAAAGTATTAAATAAATTTATTATAATTAAATATTTTTGTATATCTCAGTTGAATTTCCGGATGATATATTGATTGATCTCATAATAAAAATGGCTGAAATTGAAAAAAGAGTTATTAGCGGATGTAATGAAGCTGTACAGTTGAATTCTCTTGTCGCTACTTTTCAAAAACCTAGAGAAATGCAAATTTCATAATCTAAGTATATTTTAATAAATGTATTTTTTTAATATAGTTCTAATAAAAAAAAAATGAAAATATATTTTGCTTTGTTATTGAAATTTTAACTTCAATGATTATGAACATTTCGAAAAGTAGTATAAGTGTAGTAAAGTTTTTATAAATTTTTATTGTAAATCTCATAAAATCATTTTTAACATAACTGTATATTTTTACTTTACAAGTTTTAAGTGTACAACTCATTTTTTTGTAATTAAACTACAGATTTTATAGAAACTAATTTTAATTAATTGTTTATTTAAATTAAGTTGATTATGTATAAAATTATTCTTTATATATAATGAATTGAAAATGAATTTTTAAAAATTGTATAAAGTACATAAAGGCTTATGTATTATATTAGTATAAATTTTTGATGTGCAATTTTTAATAATTTCATCAATTTTCATAAATAGGGAATTAAAAATGTTATTTTTAAAAAGATAAAAATTAATTTTGTGATCAATGAAATTTTATTATATTATTAATGCTGCTTACAAAATATTACTTATTTTTATTGAAAGTATTTATTAGAAAAATTTGTATTTATAAGATCTTTTAATGGAACTAAATACTACTACTAAAAACTACTGTTCCTAGAAAAGATTGTGTGAAATCGAATGCTGGTCTAAGAAATGCAAAGGAAGAATGTAAAATTGCAGATATAAAATATAATTATTATACTAAAATATATTTTAACAAATTATTAGTTTATACATGTATTGAGGTAATAACTAACATAAATTGTTTGATCTTATAGATTGGTTACAACCATACAACTTTGATCAAAAAGAAAAGCATAAGCATAAGTTCATGGTTCAAACTTAAACTATTCCAGAAAATGATCCAGATGAAAATATGCAAGAAATAGTATGCATATAATTTTTAAACATACTAATTAGATTAGATTTGTATATTTAAGAAATCAGTATCAGGTGTATGAAAAAACATACATATTAAATCAACTTTGGAAAATACGTTATACTTAAAGGAAACCCCGGATATTCGAAATACCAAAAATATATATTAGTTCAATCATTTGGGCAAATATCTAATGCCTATCTACAATTATTGTCACATTTACTTTAAAACTAACGCTTAACTGGGCAGTTGCCAAACTATTCTAAATTTTATTAAATGGATATAATTATTTCATATTATAAATTCATTGATTATAAAATAATATTTATTCATATTTATAGTGGAAAAATATTAAATAAATTAATACTGTTTATTTAACTGATGAAAGCAGATGAAAAGAAGTTCCAAAAAGCATTAAAAGCTGTATTTTTGATTATGTAAATATGGTATAATATGACTAAGTACAATAATGAAAAAATATGGAATGTATCATTCTCATATTTTATTACAGAATGTAACTTTTATATGAATTATAAGTAATATAATGTTGTTTCTATTAAGTATTACGTACATATATCAGATACTATATGTCTTACAACTGTATTATCCCATGAACATGTTATTAAATCACTTTTGTGCCATGCTAAACCTCTGACAAAGTCTGCATGTTCATCATTAGTAAATATATTTTTACAATCATTGGATATATCAAAAATCTTAACTTCTGTATTATCATAACAACTCGCCAGTTTAGATGGCTGATCAGGATCAAATAACAAATTACGTATTCCACGGGAACTTTCTGGGGTTTCATAAAGAGGGGTTTCACCAATTCTACGAATATCAAGAATTGAAATGATTCCATCAAGACCTCCTACTGCAACTATATTCTCATTATTAGGTTGCCATGATGAAGCTGTTAAACCACATTCATTTTTCCACAATCCTTAAATAAAATAATAACATTGTGTAAAATAATTTTTGAAATTTTGTATATTTTTATAAAAAAATAACATATTGATGGCTTTCTTAGTAAATTAATTGATTGAAATAAATATATTATTTAATAACAATTGTTTTATTTTGACAACAAATTTAGAATTATATGATAAGTCGATTTTATATTTTCAGTCATCATATAGGCGTATAATACAAATATAATATTGTATATATTGTTGAAAAAAATTATATATTTTCTCATAAAATGTAGTGTTATTTACTAACCAAGAGCAGGCTTTGATTTTCTAATGTCCCAAAGTAAAGCTTCACAATCCATGGATGTAGATAAAAATACTGCATCACTATCCACTTGAACTTCAGTGCTTGTTATTATATCTGTTTGAGCCTGATTAAATGAGTATATTGCTATTATTTCAGTCATATCCCATACTTTTATACTAAAAATAGAGATATAATTATTTTAATTACTATTATTTTGTAGATTCAAAAATTATTACCATGAATCCATTCCAGCAGTTACAATATGAGTATTATTATTAAACGTTGACATAGATGTTAAACTGTCGTCGTGTTGACACGTATAACCCATACATTTTAATTCTGATTTTAAAACTAATTCAAAAATCTGAATAAGACCACTGTCTTCTCCAATAACAAACCTATCATATTTTCCTAAATAAGTAGCTACACGTACGCCACTTTCAGTTCGTGTGGCTGCGATATACTGATTACGATCAAAATTATTAATTTCGCTATAAAACCAAACTGTACCATTCCAATATCGATCTACCATATTACTAGCTCCCAATATTAAGCTGTCATCTATAATAAAATATGAAAATTGATATAATTTGTCTTTATTATTTATTTACCATTAAATATATTTAGAAATTTATTATGCATTACACTTAAGAAATATTATTCAAATTGCTAACAGTTTTCACTTAAATGAATTCATTATTTCTATATAAGTATTTTAATTTAATAGAATGGTCATTTAGAAGAATTATGGATTGTAAAAATGAAAAAATTATATTGATTAAATTTTAGAAAAATAACCAAAACTAGAAATTTAAAAAGAATGAAATAATTTCTAATAGTATTTTTAAAATTTACCTTTATAAACGAGTACAACCTCCAATTGCTTATCCTGAATCATTGGTCGATTTGATGCTGTCATATTTCTATAAACATCTGCATTTAAGTTTGGATCAATTTGTTCATCTTGCAATTCCATTATTAATTATTACTGCATAAATATAAAAATTAATTTTTAAAAATTATCAGAATTTCATAAAACGCATTGGCGAACGGTACTTGTTCAAAGGCACACGCGCGCTTGCGGTGTGACGCATGAACGTGAAAAAACACTAATGTATATTCATTGATAAAGTAAACAAGTCACGTGTGCGTGCCGGTTCTTTTCGATTATATGCAGATAAAAAATGATTTTTAATTGTAAGTTATAATGATGTTTAATAATAATGTTAAATTAAACAAGGTATTGTGCAAATTATGCAGCATTCAACATATAATTATAAAAAAGAATTATTGAAAAATATATTATATTTGATACTTTTTGTTGTTATCTAATAATCTTTAAGTACCTAATTTAACAAAAAAAAAAAAAAAAAAAAAAAAAAAAAAAAAAAAAAAAAAAAAAAAAAAACACCCATTTCGCATTTCTTAAATCGCTACAATTAGTTATCCATATTTACCTTATCATTAGGTAGTGAACATTAAGAAATCTGCTATGATATTTTTTTTTTTTCGTTTGTTTCATATTCAAATTAATAAAATATAAGGCACGTGCCTTTGCACACTAGTATATTCTTCATGTTAGATTCTTCCTTTTATTGCTCACTCCAAATTTAAACTTGTCAATTACGCTCTACGTTCGATTATATAAAATATCGGAACTATACATGGAAAAGCTATGCTTTCTTATGAAGATTAATTATTACAAGATTGCTGATTTTCAATTGATTACATGTATAAAGCTTATTAGATTGACTTATTATTTACGATTTTGTATCTTTGATAATTGTTTCATTTCATCATGATCTCCTTTTATTCTTTTTTTATTTAAGCATTTCTAATTTTGTGCATTATTAACCTACTTAAATTTTTAAAATGAATTTCAAATTAATGTACATATTAATTTTTATCAATATTAATATTATATATTGATTATCCAATACAAAAATTTCATCATTGAATTGATCACTGAATCACTGAAAATGAAAATTTTCATTTTTTCACTAATAAAATTTCTGTTTTTTTTTTTGTATCTAAAGAAATTTTTTTATAATATAATATGTTCTAGAATTCGGCTAATTGTGTTTTATATCTGTCATTCAAATTTTATATATTAATATTTACCTTATACATTTTTTTCTTTACTTAGTCAAATACTTTATTCATGATATATTTAACTTGTATTATTTCAGTTTTTTTTACCTTCTTTTACGATTTTATATCTTTTACTATAAGAATTTTTCTGTTTAAATTTTAACTTATTCGGTATTTATTTGGCTTTGAATATTTCAATGCTTTATACATTATTTTGTACAATAGATTTCATTTTTTTTTATTTTTGCCAAGATTGAAAAAATATGGCTGATACTTAATTAATAGACTGAAGTCCGATAATGTTACTAAAAAGAAGATAGTAAAATTAAATGAAGCTATACATAAGATGAAGGAAAGAGAATCTAAAAGAAAAAGAAGGTAAGATTCGAGGAAGGTGAGAAATGTAGGAATCGTGATTAAAATTACTTTGTAATTGGTAAGAGGATAAATAAAAGATTAGTTAATTATTGTAATCGTCATTATAATTGTTAAAAAAGTAATTAAAAAATCAACCGCGTGTAGGTGCATAGACCTCAAAAAAAAAAAAAAAAAAATGCTTCAAAATCTATCAATGATATTCTAAAGGATATTATAAAATTCAATAGTGATATTCTCTATATATATAGTGGCGAGTTGAGAAAAATATATCGTCATCCTTTATCAACACTATACTTTTTTTAGCAATATTCTTAATAAGCATAAAAATAAAAGAGTTCCTTATTATAATGCCGACAGTTAATGTTTTGAATGATGCTACCTGATTTCAAAATAACACAGCTTTTAGAATGACAGGCAATAATACAAGTGCGCATGAATACTTTTTCAATTTATGCTTTTAAATTATTATTAGTTACCTAATGGTAATTATAATCATTCTAATTAGGCATAAAACTTATTGTATTGTCTAAACGTATATCGAACATACCAAAATAACTTTTTAATTTATTAAAATTGTTTCAGCGGAGATTATTATATAACAGCGACTGAAAAACTATATTGATCTTTAAATTAAGAAAAGTACAATTTTGTTAAAATAGTAACACTATTTGATTATTGCATTTTAATCAATTTATGATAAACGAACTAAAGAATGTATGATCTTTTTACATATTTGGCACTACTTTTATAATATTGCATAAACATCTTTTGTTTAACATCTTGGATGAATTTTTCTAACATATCTTATAATTATCGATTTTTTTAACATCTCACCTAATACACTTCAAATTTAATATTTTTAATCTTTTCTCTGATTAAAGATATCTTGCCTAGATTATTTTGAAAAGATTATTTTTGCTTTTCTATTAAAAACTAGGAAATTTAGAAGAACCAGAATTTTAAAAATGATAAAAATGTACGAAATACTAACTTCTCTGTACAATATTATTAGCATTGATATTATTTTACAAGTTAAGAAATGATATTTACATCATTAAATACCATTGTTTTATGATTGGTTAACCGTACGTGCAATATTTTATTTTTATAAATTTGTAGATTCTCAGCATCAAATTGATTTTTTCTATAGTCAAATTAAATAAATAATCTATATTTTCACTATTAATTACTGAATTTGTAACTTCGAATGGTTTGGTAAATATAAATTTTAGCATAAATAAAAATTTTAAAAATCATAAAGATAGAAATAAATTATATAGAATTAAATATTGCAACGAATTAAATTAATAACAAGATAATATAATTTATCATTTAATTTTTTACTTTAAGTAATTTGAAATATATAGAAAATTGATTTCAAAATTTGTCAGTAGTATTGTTTTAACCTATAAAATGGATTGAATTTAATGATTGAAATGGTAAATATATCGTACAATGAATTAACAACAATTTTAAAATGAATTATAGTTATCAATATTTATAATAATTTATTTTAATGCTTATTATGTTATGAATTATATATTTTATTATATATTAATTATCTAATAAATACATAAGTCATTTAGTAGAAATTTTTTTCTTAAGTAGTAAATAGTAATGTAAATAATTTGATATATTACAATATACAGTTGATAGTAAAATAAAGCGATACATATTTATTGAAATATAGTTACTCATAAAATAAAGTAAAAATTATTTATAGAATTTATTTATATAAAAATCAGGAAATAAAAATGAAAAAAGACGTCAAAAAATTTAATTGAATTTCATGTATATTTGAAAGTAATTTGATAATTTAACTATTGTTCTTGTCAACTATATAATTAAATAATATATTATTCAATATTATTATAAAACTTGAAATTAGATATAATAGATACTATAATTATTCCAAATTTTTTAAGAAAAATTTACTTATAATGCATGAACATATATATATATATATATATATATATATATATATATATTAATATAATCAATTAGTATCACTTTTTTTAATCCTCTTAAGACTTATTCCTCAAGTTTGAATTAGGAAGAATACCTTATACCCAAGGAAAAATAATTTTGTATAAATTGACCAATTAAGGTAAATATATTATCTGTTTTGATATTTTCATGTTTAGGTGTTGTACTCCATAACTTATATTGTACTCCTTAATTTGTATTGTATTCCCTAACTTGTATTGTACTCCTTAATTTGAACAATAAGTATTATATATAATGACGGAAGTCCAGTTAGGATTCGTGTTTCACGATTTATTTCTCGCTATAATCAGAATACGTAAGTGCGGGATTTTTTAAAGATTCTTATAAAGAATATCAAAATAATAGTAATTTTTGAGCACTGGAGAAAGACAATATATTGAGTTAGTTACTGTAGTAAACGAAGAGTTTACTTTATGAATGTATAAAATAGAACAATTTTTCCAATTATTGAGCCAATAACTAGCATAATTAGCTAAAGTTTTCCAAGGCTTACACTTGACAGACATCTGTTTCAATCTACGATGTGATATATTCATCAATTTGTTGATGAAGGTCACGGTCATAAATGACCCTGCTTAAGCAGTTTATGTAAATCAATGGTATTTATTTACCTAAGAATTCAAAAAAGTTGTGGTGCCTTCTTTGTTCACACGTAAATATTATAAGTATATAATATAATAAATATAAAACACATAATTTGTTAAAACATATAATTTTTTAATTTTATATAATTGACATACAAAAATAATACGGTATTGTAATTCATATAATAAGATTTAATAGGAACTTCAAGCTTTAACCAAACCAAAAAAAAAATAGTGGCGAATTCAGTTTTATCTGAAACACTATAAAATAAGTGATTGTTTACAAAAAATGAAAAAATTGACTATATAAAATAAATGTTCGCGTAAAGAAAAAAATTTAAATAATTTTTATTTGAATTCTTGATTTACTAGGGCATTATTAATGATGTTTTTTTTAAGAATATAAAATTCTATCTATTTTCGAATAATTTATACTCTTTCTTTGATTAAAAAAAAAATTAAATTAAAAAAAAATTACAGGCAATTAAAAAAAAAATTTAATAGATAGTATTTGTATATATGTATATATATATATATATATATATATATATATATATATATATATCTATAAATTTATAATTATATATAAATTATATATCCTTTATATATTATTATATATCCTTATATATATAAATATATATATATATATATATATATATATATAATAAAATACATTTTGCTTGAATCAAATAAAGTAGAATTTAAATTTTCATTACAATTTTACATTATAATTTAGTATACATTATAATATTGTATGTCATTTAAGAAATATAATCTTTAACTTGATTACCGTAGTATCATGACGTAACACTTTAAATGTTCACACCTTTAAAATAATCATTCATACACATACACGAGGGGTATGGAGTAATGCAATTTTAAAAATAGTTTTGTTATTTGTGTACACGCATATGTATGATAACGTACAAAGTTACCTATGCTCATTCATTCTCTCTCTCTCTCTCTCTCTCTCTCTCTCTCTCTCTCTACTCTTTCTCTATTTCTTATGTTGTATATATATATATATATATATATATATTTAATAAGGCTGCAATAGATTGTATAGAACACGTAGTTACTTATATTGCTTTATAATTTCCGCTGTAACGCATGCGTATTTGAGGCTTTTGCGACTACGGCGACACATTTACATACTTACTATCGAAAATCGTAAAATTTAGTCCAACGGATTCACGAAGAGTCTTCTAGAGACGAAGTCAGAGATAGTATAGTATTATAAGTACATGCCGAAAGAAGAATTGTTACTCCATTTTTTGAATTTTTTATAATTTAACGGCCATAGGTACGAACCACCTGAAGTGTGTTCGCGCGAACTCGTCAGCGTGTAAAAAACCAAGGCGAATTGACATACGTAGGAACCTAGAAATATAAAGCGATAGCAACGAAGACGACGTACACTGTGACATCGGACTACGTTGATTGTCTCATTTTTATGCTTACGTGTATGACGTGTGTGTGTGTCTCGACGACGATGAGTGTTTTTTGAAGGCGCGTGCTCTTGCACTACATCAGTAAATCACTCCTTATATATCCTGTAATACTTAGTAGCTCTTTTGAAAAGCCGTTTGCCATTGCAGCAGCTCTACATCATAGGTCAGGATGTCGAATAAGCCAAAACAAGTCTTAATTATAGAACCGCAAAATGAGCTACGATTTCGGGGTGAGTACAAATAAGATGTGGCTAATATACAAGAGTTCTATATGCATAAGCCTAGATGGTTAATTGATCATTTCATTTGTACTTTGTATAAAATTAATGGATGCATTATAGATAATATATTTGCTATTTTAATTATTCGATGTATTTCTATACATGCTTTTATTTATTCTTTATAAGTTACTTCGAACTTTTTCTTGGCTTTGTGCATATGAATGTGTGGAGACAAATGTATGGACAAATATATATGCATATGTATATAGAAGACCACGTATAATATATATATATATATATATATATATATGTATGTATATATTGTGTAGACCTATACTTATGTGCATGGAAATGTATATATTGCGCCATGCACAGCAATAACGATAATTCTCATGTGTGCCCTTTCAAAATTCATGAGTGTTCCAATAAAAAAGTTTTATATATTTAAAAAAAATATGTGCTATTTTGTTGATATTGTAATTACTTTTTCTCAGAAATATGAATTTCGGAAAGGAACAGTTTAGTTTATTTAAACGCAATCAAAAAACTTTTTTTTAATATATTTTAGATCAATAATTAATTTTTTGTTGATACTGTTTTAATTTGCATTTTTATTTGTAGTATATCTTTTAAAGAAGATGGTTTATTAGATATATTTCTGATATATTACAATAATTAATTTAAAGTTAAATAATTTATTAAATATTTAATAAATTCATAATAAAGTGAATAAGATAATCTTTAAATATATAGTCATTATTTTATTTTAGGTTTAATTTGATTATTATTATTTCGAAATTATAACTATAAAATACAAATAAAGGACTTATATTGTATTTTAAATTATTAGATAATCTATACATGTCTGTGGATTAATTACAATAATTTTTTTTATGAACAGGAAATAATCATCTATGACTCAGCACTTTTTGAAAAATTTTTAATAGGATTTTGAATTAGTGTATTATATTTTCGAATTGTACTGGTATACATTCATTTATGCATAATTTAAAATTTTTTATTTATTTTGGTTTATATATCTTACTTTATATATCTCCTCGTATAAATAGACATATGTAACACCCATATGTATAATTGACTATTTTCATTACAATATTTTTTCAACATGCAATTTTGAAGAATTTTATTAATCTTCTAAAATAGGGAGTTAAAAATGTTATTTAGAAAAATAAGAATTAATTTTGTGACCAATGAAATATTATTGTGATATTAAAAATTATGTTTAACAAATAATTATTTTTATTGAATGTATTTATTTAAAAAAATTTTATTTTTAGGTCCATTTACAGGAACTCCAATAGCTTCATATTTGAAGCTTAAAAATCAAACAAGCGATCAAAAAATTTATTTTAAAATAAAAACTACTGTTCCTAGAAAATATTGTGTTAGACCAAATTCTGGTCTGATAAAAGCAAAAGAAGAATGTGAAGTTGCAGGTATAAAATATAATTATTATACTAAAATACATTTTATTAAATTACTAGTTAATACATCTATTGAAATAATAACTAACAAATTGTTTGATCCTGTAGTTTGTTTACAACCATACAACTTTGATCCAAAAGAAAAGAGTAAGCATAAGTTCATGGTTCAAACTTATACTGTTCCAGAAGATGATCCAGATGAGAATGTACAAGAAATAGTATGCATACAATTTTTAAATATACTAATTAGATTACATTTGTATATATTAGGTATTTAGAAATGAGTACTATTTAGGTTATGAAAATACATAAGTATTAAATCAAACTTTGAAAATACGTTAAAATTGAAAGAAACCTTGGAGATTCGAAATACCAAAAATATATATTAGTTCAAAAAGTTTGGGCAAATATCCAATGCCTTTTTAAAATTACTTTCACATTTACTTTAAAACTAATGCTTAACTAGGCAGTTGCCAAATTATGCTAAATAATTTTATTGTATGGATAATTGTTTAAGGTTTAAGAAATCATTGATGATAAAATAATATGCATTATTTTTATTTATAGTGGAAAGATATTAAATCTGACAAATTTGTGGATACAAAACTTAAATGTATTTTTGAAAATTCTGGTAGTACTTCTACTATATCTAAAGCTAAAAGAACAAGTAAACCTGATTTGAATTCTACTGATGGTAAAAGTAAGATTAACGACGATGGTTTGAAATCATCACCAAAGGTATAAAATTGTTTTTATATTCTAAAAACCACATTCCTTGTGATTGTAACTGAATGTTGATTATTTTTTAGGCTATGAATGAAGTTGAAGAAAAGTTCTTGCAAGCATCACAAGAAGTTAATCGATTAAGGTTGGAAGAAAACAATCTTAGGGAGGAAAATCTGTTTTTAAAGGTAAAATGTTATATTGAATCAATTTATGTTTTTTAAATAAATAATAAATAATAATTATTAATTTCTCATATATTATTAGTATATACAAACATATATTTATTATTAATTTCTATACATTTTTACACGTATTTGAACAAATCTATTAGTTACGTGTGATTCATATAAATAGAATATTTTCAGGGTATATGAATCTATGTTTGTTTGAATATATTTTCATATTAGTTGTATATGTTGTCTATACTGAAATGTAGATATAATCATATTATAACACATTGACTGTAAGCAAGAATAATGGACAATTGTAAATATTTCAAAATAGTGTTATAACAACTATTTATATTTTTAATTTCCAATTTATAATTTTATTGGATATCAAATGAAATTTGTATATAATATCTAGTTTTAATATAAAAAGTTTTAAAATTTTGCTGTAATTTATTTTTATTTTATATAAGTATTTAAAGCTAATTTAAATACAAAAAATAATTGTATTATTTTGAAAGAATTTTTTATTGGATATAAAATTATTATAATTAAAAGAAAAATCAATAGAAATTTAGAGAAAGCTATTTGACAAAAAATTTATAAAGTTTAATAATTTAAGTATATTAATGTTATTAAGTAACAATTTTATTAATTTGCAATTTTTTTTAACTAACAAGGTAAATAAATATTTGTATTTATATTTTATATAAATAAAGTATGTATGATACACTTTAATAATGATTTGAATAGAATAAAATAGACAAATAATTCTAATAGCTTGCAGAATATGTAATATGCCTTTATTTTATATAACTATAGAAGTAATTTATTGGTGTTTAATTTAATCTTGAAATTGAAAAATCGACTTAGATATATGAACACATATTTTTTAAATTAGGAAGATGTAATGAAGTGGAAACATGCAGCAATGGATAATGACACACTCCTGACTTCAATACCAGGTCTGACTTCGCATCCCCGTAATCCATTGGTTATGTCTACCAACAGCATTATCATCGCCGTGATTATGGTTGTAATTGGTTATATCTTGGGGAAATTCATTTGAAGAGATTTCGTCTTGTTGTAACCACTTTTGGTACACCACTCCCTCTTTTCTTAGCCTACCCTTCCTGCCACTTGATATGTCATTGACACTACTACTACTCCTATTATTACTATTATTACTACTATTACTACTATTATAAATGCGAAAAGAGACAGCAAAAACAATTTACGGAATCAGTCACTCCGTTGTTTATAATAAATAGTTATTATCAACTTGTAGTACAGCCCATAAAAATAATTAGAGTCGTTTATTAGGCCAGTGTGCTTAATGGAATAAAGGCAAGCGGAAGTAAAATCCTTTTTTAAGAATCTTGAAGCATCATAAAGTCGTTATAATTTAATTTATTTTATTAGTTTTCTCATTTTATCAGATTGAATAGTTGTAAATGATTTTGGTTAGAGGTGTAAATATCACTTTCCATTGTAATATAATTTTGAAAAGAGCAAAAACCTGGGTGTACGAATTCACGGTTGCACTTCCTATGATTATTTTTACCCTTATTTTATAATAATGTTTTTCTGTATATTTTCATTGGCTTCGTTTTCTTACGAAAGGATTTTTGTGTTGTGCCACGCGTCAGTGTCTTTAATGAAAAAGATTTTAAAAATAAAAAAATAATAATAAATCGTGTCATTAATATATTAGGCTTATTAAAATGACTTTAATTTCAAAAATTTAAATTGTATTATTTCAAAAGATGTTGATTTGTCTTGAGTTTGTCTCAAATCCAGTAATTCATCACTATATAAAAATGAAAACGATATATTTCATCGGTAATTTAGAATTAAATAAACTAGACTTGACTAAATGGAATCTGTCTGGTCGCTATTAGTGTGCAATAAGGCTTATTCAATTTCTTTGGAAGTAGATTTTGAACGACAATGCCTCTAATATTATAAATTGCTCTTGGATTAACATTTAGTCCTCGTACAATTATCACTGAGTTGAAAATTAGTACTAAAAAATTTTAAGATGTTTCTTAATTATTATTTTTTATTATAGAAGTTTTTATATTTTAAACTGTTTTATATTTAGGATAGACCTTAAGTCAAATCTGATAATTGAATCTGGTAAATTTCTAATTTTTATGAATCAATAATGTACATAAAAATATGATTCAAATTATTAAATTTTTGTTTATTATATATTGGTCGATGAGATGCAAATAATGTAAAAACTTAATGAGAATATAATTGAGACGTTGATTTGACAAGTGAGTGCAAGAGCTATGTAGTTATTCTTTTACTACTGGGCAGTTTTACAAAGAATATACATGTAACAACTCCAATGACAACTTTGACCTTGATCGCAATTTGATCGTACCTGGATGTAGAATCGAACCATACTACATCACGCATGCAAAAATGAAGTTCATAGACCAAAGTGATAAAATGAACTGCAGCTCCATAAATATGGGCTTGATCATACTGTATACGTAAAAACTGATAACATGTATATCAACAACAGTAAAAGCGGATATGGTGATTTTACTCACTTACGTTCTTGTGATTAGTTTGTACGAGCGTGCAAAGTGTAATTCAAAGGCATATGATATCGATTGAAGCTTGCTATAGTGGCTGGATAGGTTGTAGAATAGAGAGATAAGGGAAGGAGCGGAAAGGAGAACGATAAGTAGTCTACCTTTATATTATTTTTCTTTGTTTTATGCATTGTCTTGCCGTAAGTTTTTTTTATTGAACACATGAAGAGCTTTGGAAATGTGAATAATTTTTTAGTAATGATAAAAAGGATAAAATAGAAAGAGATAGAGAATGAATATGAAAATAAAAGAGAAGAAGGAAGGGTACATGGAGAAAGAACGGGAAGAACAGCAAATGAGAGTGATAGAATAAGAGAGCGAATAAAAAAACTTTTGAAGTAATAATTAAAATTAGTTTATTTGTACACATACATTTATAGAAGGGAGGGTAAAAGTTCAGTAAAGTTTTAATTGATTATTCATGAATAAATATCTCCAACTGTTTCGCCATAACATGACACTGTTTCATTGCAATTAACAGCTTGATTTTACGAATCAATGCTTTTCAATGTACTTTTAATTTATGTTGTATTATAAAAAGAAAAAGTTTGTGCAAGTATTATTAAAAAAACGATATAACAAGTAATCATGAAGAAAATGTTTAAAATAATTAATTTAGTGAGCTTCATGTATGTACACTTACTACTTATTACATTTGTTTGTTCAGTGCTGAGTAATTGATTTTATATATCTATTTAATAAGACGATAAACATGATATTTATTAATAAAAACAATATCAAGTTGAGAGTTATTTTGATCGTTATAAATGAAAAAATCAATAGAAGATATCCTTTAAATACTTCTTATGTGAAGTCTTGAGTGAAAATTTGAACCACTGGAATTAAAATTGTATAAATGAATACAAGTAGTGGTGGAAATCTCTTATTCATACAATTAATAAAATAAAGTCATTTTATAATTAAAGTAAGAGTATTTATGTATTGTTAATGATGTAATTATAAAGTACTATCGACTATATATAATTAATTATTCATTTAAATTTATTTTGAAATTTTTGTCAACATTTATATTAAGTTCTAATCTTTTATTAAATTATATTTTCATTTAACATTTTTTTTTTTTTTTTTTTTTATAGTAAATATTGACTTAAATTTTTATAATTTCAAAAATGAATATTTTTTAAGCAGACTAGAATAATTATAAAATAATGGAATGTCGTCTTTTAAGAAAGTAATATTTATAACTTAAAACTCAGTGATATCTATTTTCTATTTTGCATCTTTTATAATATTTTAGAATTTTTATGATTATATTTCTATGATATTTGAGTTATTTGTGACTTATGTAAAATTTTAACTTATATTTTAGAATAAAATATTGCAAAACATTGTGTATCGTAATTAAAAATTATAGTCATACAATACTTTTCTTTTAATATTAAAGTTAACGAACAGGAATAGGATTCATGTAGTTTTTGAGTTATTCAGAGCTTTTAATGAAAGAGTGCAAATAATAAATCATGCAAGTTTATGTTACAACCATAATGCACTGAATGTTATTAATCGATGTTAGTCAATGATCGCTGTTAAACTAAACACCAATGAAACTTAGCTTGGATGCAGCATCCGAATTTACAATATTTATTTTAAATAATTTAATTCTTCAAATATATTGAGTTTGTTTAGGAAATATGAGGCACGAGTACTTTGCATTATTCTTATTTTAGTATTTATTTATTTACACTAATTATTAATATTGCCATATCTTGATTATATTTTTATATGTTTATTATATGAAGTATAATAGACCATTTGATTTTATTTAACGATTTACTCTATTAATAGTTCAGAATAAGTATAATTAATGTCTCAGATCAATATGAAATTGTTATTCCCGTTATTTTTATTTACTTCGACTCTTAGTTTTATTGAAATTTTCAAGATTAAATATACTTATTTTTATCAAAATGGTTAATTCATTAATGAGTGTTTATTATATCTAAATATAATGTTAATTCAATGTATATTCGTAGTCCACGCTATTCGTAATATTTTACTAATAAACTTGTTTATTTATGAATTACTTTTAACACAATGCAATATTCATTAGTTAATTGAATAATATTGAAGGTTTATACTGCTTAATGAACCGGTCTAACGACTTATAATCTTTTTGGTCAATAGTGAAGCTTATCGCGACTTTTTTGTTAATTCACTATTAGTGCTTTTTTCCTGAAATTTTTTATTGAATAATTCTTTGTTTAGTTATCTATGATACCTTTTCTTATTTCATTGATAATTACTTCTCCATCTTACATTTAATAATGATTGTAGAATAATTCGGTAGTGATTATAAATATGAATTCCATATATATATAATGCGTATATTTTCGTCATGATTTACATTATAAAAACATTTGTTTAACGGATAAATATCTTTCAAAATTGGTGTATTAATGTTTTCTTTAATTTAATTTTATTTTATTTTAATTGGATTATCGAAATTGGAAGTTGGTTTTTAAATTTGATAAAAAATTTTATTTTTTCATATATTTTTATTCAATATTTAGTAGATTATACAAAATGTTGTATTCTGATCTATTAAATTCATAATATTCAATATAAAAGTTCAGCATTTCTCAAATTTATTATATTTTTTATTATATTTTTTATAAATATAATAAATTATATTTTATAATAAAATACATTTTATAAAAATAATAAAGTATTGTATAAAATTGTATAAGAATTCGATTTTACGTCTACATTTTTTATATATTTCTTTCAATAATAAAATAATGTCTTGTTTGAACACTTTTATTAAAAATTTCTAGGGTAATTTTATGCGTAATCTTGAAATATTAATTTTTTTATGAAATTTCGCATAATCAGTATTAATTCTATTTTTTATCTCATTAATCACAAAAATTACACTTTTTAATACTTTTATAATTATTCTAATTATTCACTTTAATTATTTTATTTTATATTATACGATAAATTTTTGATTTCTTGAAACTGATGAAATAACTTGATGAAGGATGTATAGTTTACGCTAATGACAATTTGTGAATAAATATTTTTAATAAGTATTTTTTTTTAAATAGTTTTGAAATTAAAGTATTATTGAAACCGAATAAAAATTACGAACTCTAAATAAAATTTTTGGAATACATTTTTTTTAATTAAAATATCCAGTGAGTCAGTTAAAAAATAATTAAAACAGTTTGTTTGAAAATATTTACTATAAATCATTCAATTCAAAATTTAATAACAGATTTTTTCTATAAATACGATTATATATTTTTTAGACATGTATTCATGGAGAATAATTGCAAACAATCAAAAATGGTTATCTACAAATAAATAAATATATTATTATAATTTTAATAAATTTAAAAGTTCTCTACTATACAGACAAACACGGGCACGCTAATGAGTTAAAATCTTCATAAACGCCACTGATTTCAATTCCAAATTATCCGCATTGTGAAAGTTTCATAGAAACACAAATCTTACAATCAACGCATGAATCGTGAAATAAAACTGTTGTGTTTATTGGAAAACTTATCAGGTGCGATCAAAATATGATCCCATCTATATTTACTATATTTTTATAATTGACTATGTAAGTATCTTATATTTTTATAGTTGACTAGGTTACTAAAATTGAAATTAAAGATCAAGATTTTTTAATTAAATGATTAAAATCAAATGAATCCGTACTAATAAAAATGTTGACATTGAAGACTGAAGCAATTTCTTTTATTATAATTTTAATTTAATTAATAAATTACTTCTTATGAATAAGTTAACCTATTTTTTTTTAAATATAAAAATATGTATATTAAAAATATATTTAATATTTATATTGTGAACTCGAATATTAAATATCAGAGTTTCAATGTTGCTAGTGGTAAACTATAGTTTATGGTCAATTTTGATTTGTTAATTTGATATTAGTTTAATGACGCTCGGTATTTAATAATTTTCATCAACCGACTGTGTATATATCATCAAATTGATGTATTATTTTCGTTATTTGGCAATAATAAGTTTTCATATATTGTCTATTATATGTTACAACAGTGAAAATAGATAAGAAGCCTATATTAACCCTTTAGAATGAATGATTTATCTAATTATGACTTCTAAATCATTTCAAGATTAATGTGAACATGTTAATATCTACGGAGAAAAATTAGATGGTAGACAGATAAAGAGAAGTGTAGAATTAACGATAACTTTAGCTTATATTCCTATATAAGATCAATTGAAAATTACAAAAACGAAGCACAGAAATACGTGATAATAGTATAAAAAGAAAATTTTATTATCTAGGAATAATAAATGTAAAAGAGAGTTGGAGAGAAGTGGGATTTGGTCGACGAGGAGAGGGGAAGAAGCAAATAGGCAAGCAAGCGGTGGCATTGGCGGTGGCAGTAGCGGCTGGCTATTGATTTCAAGGGCTTTCTTAGTCTTTTACCCCTCTTCATGTGTTGCCACTGTACTCCGCCTTTCCACTGCATCAGCCGTCGTCTCCAGGTCATCCTAAAGGGTTTTCAGTGCCTCAGCAGCACTCTCCGTCTATATCATTTTCCTTTTCTATTTTATAATATTACATTTCTTTTGGTCTACTTAATCTGCAATTCATTAAATTAAGTTAAGATTTCTGCCTTAGGCGTCATAATTTATCTATTATATCGTTAACATATGGAACAAGTTCATACTGCTTTGTCATTGAGAAACGAACTGTATTCAGTTTTTATTCACGTTAAATGTTTGTCTTATTAATTTTTCTAATTTCCTTTAATTACTTTCTGTCGACAAACTATTCGCAGTATAGCCTGATCAGTAGTTTCGAGTTAAAGTGAAAGCAAAATTTTAATATGCAAATTAGCCAGATACATATAAATAAGTGATTCTATTTGGAGGGTCTTAATTTACTTAATGCTTTCACAAATAAAAAGTAAGTTTAGCTTATTCATAAAATGCAGGGGTATTTAAGAGTATGGATTAGAAAGAAAAAAAAAGTAAAAAAATAAAGAATAATTCCAGAGAAAGGAAGAACTATCGAATAAATTTGACTATATAGTTACTGGTGACGTCATCGTGTTATATTTTTTATGAAAATATTTTGTTTTGTAAACGATAATTACGCTTGATTTTTTTTGTGAAATAATATTTTCGGTAGCCCGAAGGATA